GTAGGTAAATATACATATACGGTACTATGAACAATCTATTTAATTTTTTGTCTGTTTTTTGTTTGTTGCGAATATAGTCTAATCACGTGACATAATATTATAAGGAATAACTTAGGCTACTTTTATTTATTGCAATAAAAAAATAAGATAAACTCCACGCGATTCGTCACAAACGACAGCTAGTGTAAAATAAAACAAAGTTGGTCGGAATCAAAACATTTTATTTCCTATATCGACACAAACTGGGAATATCGACCAGCGAATTACCAGCACCGTATTACAACTTACAATACACTGATTTCTCTGATCTGGTCATTGACGTGTCATTTTATAGATATACAAAAAGGCTTCAATCTTTATGTTATCCCAATGAGTAGCTGAAGAAAGTAATAAAGTGTTTGTACACTACACATCGTACCTCACAAAATAAAAAGTCAAGTAGCTTGTAAATGAAGCCACAAACATTACTAATATAAAATATTACTCCATCCAGTAAAATCCAATTATCTCTGTAATTAGAATTCTATGCTCTATTACTACGGTTTAATTTAAATAAATTCACAAAATTACATATCAATTAATGAACTGAAATGATGAAGCAATTTTTAGAGAAATTAGAATTCCACATTCTGCTACTACAGACAAAAATCTTATCAGTTGCAATCATCAGCAATTCCCCGTGATCGCACCAGGTAAGTAATAGTTAAAAATATAAATTAATCATTTGCAATGGATAGTCAAACAATACTTGGTCAAAATTTGAAATTTTTTATCCCTATTAAATCCTTTCTAAACATCGTGAGACCCTACAATCAGTGTTGCCAGATGACTATGTATTCCCCCCAAATCCTCCCTATATTTTGAAGAATAAATAAGTCTGTATGACCTTATTTATTCCTTATTCCTCTTTATTGAACCTGTCGCCTGCAATATAATTTTTGACATTGAAATATCTACCTTTTATTTTGTGTTTGTAACATTTTTATATTGAAAAAGAAAAGGCTAAGACGAGAGTAGACATGCCAAAAGCGTAGAACTTTAATCACCCCCTAAATTAGGGGAATACTTGCACCGGTCATCAAAGCCAAATACTGCCAAAGACAATTGTACCTTCCTTTTTTGTGTGTATTCTGAAGAATAAAAAAGTGTATAAGTGTGTATTTATGTATGTGTAAAAGTGTTTCTGCATAGCTCCTGTTTTGTTCAACATGTCTATATTATTTTATAAAAGAAAAGGCTAGGAAGTGAATGGACATGCCTAAACGTCTTTAGCAGTACCTGGCTTTGATGACTGATGCAAGTCAAATCAAACTGGCAACACTACCACACTGGTAGTGTTGCCAGATTGCTGGTTAAAGCTCGACGCTTTGGGCATGTCCATTCACGTCCTAGCCTTTTCTTTTGTATAATATAATAAACTTTAAAAGTAAAAGAACTCAGTACAATTGTCATTGTACTGAGTTCTTTTACTTTTAAAGTTTATTGGATGGACACCTCTGTAAACAGATCAGACAAACCCAAATATATACATACGAGAACGCACGTCATTGTGAAGTTGGCGTAACCATTGTGAAAGTATACTACTGGGCGTAGTGCAATAATATAGTATACAGAGTTATAATATATATATCAAGCCATTAATGCCCTTTGACTGTATATATTGTGTATATTTACCATCACGCGGACTATCATCCGTTTACCATAACGCGGACTGTATACTTGAATACAACCGTCGTTGTACAAACAGGCTCATTTATAATAATTCGAAATACTGTCTCACTTTGACAAATTAATTCTATGAAACATATGTCTTTTTTACAATTACTGCAAATACTACTCTAACGGAGTTTTATATTATTCTTACAATTGTTCTAATTTTCTTGTTACACTTACAATTTTTGTAACATTACAATGTCTGCAAATATTACCTATATTCGAGTCAATAGAGTTTCTGTTCCATTTGACCTGTTCATAACACCGATCATTTACAATTTCTTATCTTGGTCTTCATTACAATTACAATACACATATAACAAACATATTTACACAATAAATAGAAGACAGATTTACGCTAAAATCAAATTTCAGCAAAATATCTTAATGATAAAATTGATCACTTCTAAAGTGATAAACATATATATTAATTTGACAATAAAGAACAGAGCAGTATAAATATTTAATAATGAACACAAACTTCGCAAACTATGTTTACACCCTGCTAAATAGAACAAAAAGATATAGACCCGAAAATCCAGTTGTCACTACAAATACTGTTACTGTAAATTCGTGAAACTTTTGTGAATTAATAAATCAAATGTTTTGCAAGTAGTAAGTATTATTAAGTAGTAAGTACTACATATGATGGTAGAATGCTAACGCGACCTCCCGACTCCTACAAACCCGCTAGTAGCTACACTGTGTGATTTTAGTGGGTACGAATCCCACACAAACCCTAGTCTCTCTCTGACAAAGAACAGTCTTTTGAAAATTTTTCACATGCTACAGAAAAATACTACTTATAAATAGTACTTACTACTTGATTTACGGTTTAATATCTATTCCGTTACATCTGTATTATGGTATCTAAAAATTATAGTAATATATGCATTTCCTAATATATTACTTTGTAACTGTAAATAATTAAAAATGAATCAAGTATATATTAGCTATTTACATATCGATATTGTGTCGCACACTTATGGATATAAAGGTCATTTTTCGTCGCCAGTTATTTATAGAAACGTGTGCTACTTGTGAAAGCTACCTTTCCTTATAAATATCAATTCCATTTTAATTAATATGACAACTCTATAGCTTTTTAGATATAACATATATCTACATAAATATACATTTATATAGAAGATTTTTCTATTGATTTTCATTTAAAATTGTTGATTACATTATTTGCCAATTTTCACGTATCTTTTTTAAAAATTCCAATAGTTTTTCAATTACCTAACCCTGCCGATGTCGACCGATATAAAATTATTTTTATATTTTATGTATAATTCATGTGCAACCCTATATTTCAAAAATGCTAGAAATGACGAAAGTACCGCATCAAAGCCGTTTAAAGATAGGACTTACTATATTAAATTTAATAATTACTTAATGGGGTTTCAAAGTTGCCACTTCCGTTACTAACTACACCACTAAATATTTTATTGTTAATGAAATTCCAATATCCATTACAGAACAGCAGAAAACTTTATAATAATGATCATAATGTTATTTATTCAATAATTTTAATTAAATAAATTAATAATAAGATTAGGGCTAGATGGCGCTGGGGGAATTTTACACGGATATTATATTATATATACTAATTATACCCTCGTACTGATGACCAAAAATCTTGTATTTAAACGGGTATCCTGATATAGTTGACAACCCTGAACGGTTGTTATTGTTGATTGGTTAAAAGAAAACGAGTCATATTTCTTGAACGATAAATCTCAAAATATTAAAACTATCTAAAAAGTACTTCGTCATTATTGAAATTTCATTAACGTTCTCTGTATTTCAAACATCGAAATTAAAATCTACTTAAACGTATTACATCAAACACCGTAGTATAATATTTAATTGATTAAAAAATATGAGCATACAAAGTAACAATATTTACAAGAGTACAAACATGTGGCAGATGTATATAAATAGATATATATTATTAGAAAGTTGGCCAAAAATGTAAAATGTAATCACTTCATTAAATAAAAAAAAACATTGTATTAGAATGGTCTATAGCTAAATTCAGTTAAACTTCAGGTTTCAATTTGTATTTCAGCATTTTATAATAATATTATAGCATTACATAGTATAAAACAAAGTCGCTGTCGCAGTCTGTCCATCAATATGTATGTTTAAATCTTTAAAACTACGCAACGGATTTTGAATCGATTTTTTTTAAGATATAGTGATTCAAGACGAAGGTTTATATTATAATACATGTACACCCGTGCGAAGCCGGGACAATTTTATTATTATTAGCGAGTATGACATATAAAACTAAGATTTTTAGGTAATGTATTTAACGATAAACTGCGATAAACCTTTTTTAATGCCTATAACCCTACCTACTACCCTAATAGGGATAGGGTTATAGCCATAAAATTTTTGTTAATTGAAATTAGTTCTTTAACAAAATAACATTAATAACTTTTGTATATGTTTACAATTCTGATACATACAATGGGACCGTTTAAATGTAATTTATAATATGACATATTAATAAAATCTATATTCGATGACTTCTAAAACGAATATAGTAATTATTATAAGGTGTCTTAAGCTTTCTGATTATACACAAATAATAAGAATATATTCTACCTGTTAGATAATAATCAAATAAAGCTTTTAATTCAACAATAATACTAACTTACAATGTGCTATCTATTATATTTGTTATTTAATAGCATCAAATAATACTACCGTGAGCATTTATAGAAATTTAAGTACTACCTACATGTATGTTAACAAAATAATAATCCATTCAAATTTATATCTCATATATATACTATAGCAAATAGGCAATACAGCAAATATGTCGAATTGTCTACTCCAGAGGTAATGGACATCATTGCACTGCTGCGGATCCAGTGCATTTGGACTTGGATATAGATATATGAATTGAAAGACACATATATTGTAGTTTACTAAGATAGTTCATAAGTTGTTTTCTAACATAATGTGGATATGGCTATGCGAAATAATTAAATATATATATATTAAACAGTAAAATATGTTCAATCATAGAGTATTAATAAATGAGTAATAGTTTTTGGCGGGACATAAAAATGTACGCCATTTTGTTTTCATATTTTGTCTGAAGACATAACCAGCTTTAATTAATGGTTGAAAACGCTATGGTTAGCTAATTAAACTTAACTTACATTGTTGTAGCTAAAATCTAATTTTTTTATGTAAACGCGTTACTACAAAAAACTTGAAGAAACTTTTTTTTTAAGGTATAATAACGTAACGTACGTACGTGTTTTTTTTTTACATAACATCCCTATAAATGAGGATACTGTGATTTTTTGTATACTTACTAATTGAAACGGTATATTTTCTATTTAGTAATTATATATATGTATTTAGTTAAAGTGAGGTTCAAACAGGCACTCTACTAGTTTATAAATAAGATAATAATAAAAATGACTTGATTCTAATCATTAAGATATCTGCGCAATATCTTGTTGTGATGATAAAGCTATGACTAACTATATAAGTAAGCTATGGTTTAAATTAAAAATACGTAATTAATATATTTTGTTAACAATAATAATGTATTCGATTCTCTTTACCGACCTACTTTAAACAAAGAACAATAGTCCTTAAATATAACAATTGAAATTCATACATAAAATCACAATTTACATTAATAAAATATTACATGAGCAAAAGCTCATTAAGTACAATCTTCACAATATCGACCATTGACACCTACTATTTTCATACACCACCGATGTAACAAAGATGGCACATTCATTCGTAACACCATTCTGGCACAAATAACACTTATGGCACACTTTCGCGTAATCCTACCCGCCGTGCATCCCTCTCTTTATGACACTTGCGTATTTTAACGCAACACTATCAACACGCAACTGCGTATTCGTGCCCGCACTACGTAGTGAGGGCGTCGCTTAACTTTTATAGTATCACTTGCGTAATTTACCCCAATCTCACATGTACACATGCTGACAAAACGCAATTGTGGTCTTGTACGCACTATGTAGTGTGTTTACGTTACTCGTCGCCTTTATAATTACACTCAACAGCTACTTTTATACGACACGTTCTTTCACCTGCGATCAGGAGCTCATTCAATTTAGCGCGAGAAAGCCAGCGCCTGCAATCCTAATTGATTCCATTTTACTTATTTGTTTTCACTCTCTGATTCATGTCTTTACACTTTCTTTTAAAATTTTCCTTATTATTCCAAATATTTTACTTTCCAAAGACACGTTTTAGATTTATACATTATCAATTACTCTATCTGCTAATAGTCTGCCAATTTGTAATGATCATTAATTATTACAAAAAGGCGCTAAAGCTCGCACGATTACAGAACGCGGGAATGCTAGAGTTAGCGGTGTTCGCGGTCTTTCTCGTTCTCTTTGTCTACATTTACATACACATTATTTCCTGCGTGAAAACCGATTCGCGCGTGAAAGAGCGTAGGTGTAGAGGCAGCTATTGTCACTATATATGACAACTTTTACATGCGTAAACTTATCCGAACTACGTAGTGTGAGTGCGTAAATTGTCGACGGTATACATAACACTTGCGTAATTGTACCCAATGTCACCAGTACATATTGTGACAACTATCACCTGCGTAATCATGTCCGAACAACATAGTGTGTTACTTGTCACATTGCGGCACAAGCTGCTCGCTGTCGTCATCGCGGCGGATGTGGGGCCTCCTCAGTGGCCGTGGATGTTGTAATAGCGAGAAACGCTCGCTCTGTGGGCCCGGCTTCTTAGCTAAAGCGTTACGGAGATGGGTCTCACCTGAAATGTATGACGAAGAGTATAATTTAGAGAGACGAGGTTCTTAGCATTAGCAGAGAGAAAAACCTCGGAGTATCTCTCTCCGCCACACTATGGACGGTTAGTTCGCGGTAATCGTGACTCGGGTGTAAATATATGGAGCCCCTTTGCGTAGATCAACACTCACCTTCACCGCTCGTGTTTCTCTTTCTGTCCATACAAATCTGAGAGGAAAATGCTAGTGCAGCTTTAGATGCACATTCTATTATAGAACTGAGGTTCTAGACAAGACAAGATGTTTTTGAAGATTGTAGACAGATTTCGATGCACTTGCTCCCATTTCGACATAATATAAATTAACCAATAAATAAGTTAATTCGTTTATAATATTTATTTAGTTTCATTGCAGTATATTGTTAGATGGTATAGCTATGTCATGAGGAGACCGGAAGACCACTTGACGAGAAAAGTTCTCAACCTCAATTGAGGACCGAAAAAGCGTGGACGACCCTGATGAACATGGATGTCAGTAGTTAGTAAGGACCTTAAGGACAACGGAAACATAGAGCTAGCTGGCTCTATGTTTATAATAACTGGAGACACCACTGGAGAAGAAAGATTAGGAGAGCCGACCCCAAATCAAAATGGGATAAGGCCGGAAGAAGAAGATTGCAGTATATTGTTTCCCATGATACAGTGAGCTTTACCAGTATTACACATTTAGTGTTTTCGAATATAGGAAATTATCTGATCTGGACGATGGAACACCTACATTCTCTGGGATCTTGTCCATTAAACAAGTTCCGACGGGTGCAATACCTAGGATTGAGAAGAGCTTGTTTTAGGAGTTCAGCCTTTACGTTTTTTCTACTGTATCTGTATAAAACTGCCATTATATATACAGGCTAATTAACCTGACTTGCAGCTCATCCTAAAACATATGCCCCCCAGCGAATATGCGCCAGTTAGCGCAGTCCCATTGACCCATTACTTTACTACCTATTAAAAAAATACTAGAGAGGACATACCGGGTAGTGATAGCGGTCGTCCACACAGCATGAGGTCGTGGGAGCGCGGCGACGCTGAACGTGATGAGCGTGGTCTGCTGCTGTTCCGCGACTCCTCACCTCGGTCTCCACGAACTCCTCGTCGGGGAGATCGAGACCCTAGCAGCTCCTGTATCGGCCCACTCACGTATTATGTTGCATGTTATGAAATAGAATTCATAATAATATTTATCCAAATATAATCAATATAAGAACTTTTGAATAGTCATATTTTTTAATCTACCACTAAGTCTGCGTTCAAATGAGTGGTAGAATAAAAAAAACATAAATAATCAAAACTGCTTATATTTAGTCCTGAAAATAATCACGTAATATCGACGGTTTGAATTTATATTTAGCTTTACGTCCGATGGTTTATTTCGCACGAAACAAATATCATTATTTTTATTGGTCTGAATGTTTTTTGAGCCAAGGTTCGAATCCCTAGTGATGCCTCGACAGAAAGATTATTACAACTATGTGCAAGATCTATTTAAGCAATATAAATAACAAGTGAACGCTGTAATACAAAACTTAATAAATTATATTAGTAGTTATTTTAGTTTTAATCTAATTCTACTGAAAAGTATAAAAATAAATATAGCAATATTTTAGAATACTCAGTTGTTCATATCAATATTATAAAACAACATTATATTTGCTGCTAAATAAAATATGTTTTGTATGAAATAGTGCTTTAAATTTTTGTAGTATTGCATATTTGAAAACAATAAAAGTAGTATTAAGAGTTGTTCAGCAATTTTCTCTTTACAACTTCCTTATTGCAATCACCCTGTATCTTCAACTGAGTATAATAAAAATTGTTATCTTAGCCTTAATAAATATACTGCATTACATTAATATAAGGAAGTACAGGTAAAGTGGAACAAAAGATCGAAATTATTGCATAACTAGAGTCCTGTCCCGACTTCGCTCTGGTGCTCATATATTAATGATTTTTGTATGTATTCACATAATGAACAGCCTGTATCACTCTAGAATAGTCTAGAACAAGGGCCACCTATAAATTACGTCACACGTTGTCGAAATGTGACTTTGTGTGACAAAGGGTAGTCTTAGGTTTCGTGACGACATATTTCTAAATCTAATATATCTAAGTATTAAAACATGAATTTTGAACTTTTGAGAACAGTGAAAAAACGATGCAGTTGTTTTACAGTTTACCATCTTGATAATAAAAATCGCTCTTTATAATATTAGCATAGACTATCAACCCATTTCTACCTGAGTGGGGTGCGAGGTAGGAGGGTATAATATACACAATATGTAGGGGTTGAATGCACAGCGCCAGTAAATATAATGAAATATGAAAGTAAAAAATATATATTTGGTAAAAGTATGTAATATTATGTTATCTGTGGTAAAAGTAACAAGGCACTCACATACGATATATCAAAAATAAAATTACGAACAATATTAAACATTTCTTTATATAAAATTCAAATTGTCTTCTACCAATAACGGTCAGATATAAATTCAAGTTCGAACACAATAAGTATTCTATATTCATCTGAAATAATGTATATAAACTCGTGTCTTTCACAAGATGAAATAAATTTTAAAATAGTCCCAGATATCCCTCCATATACATACATTCTAATTTATAAGGAATAAGTGCCAAAGTCCCCAACTTTGGCACTTATTATCAAAATGTGCTATAAATATTTTTATTATCTCTCATTAGAAGAAAATTGTGTTATGGCCCTTTACTACTCATTTATTATACGTAATATATTTTATTTATGCAAAACTATTGCTTTCTTTTAATTTAATCTATACATATAAAAGAAAGTCATGTTAGTTACTCCACTTATAACTCAAGAACGGCTGTACCGATTTAGCTGAAAATTGGCAGGGAGGTAGTTTAGAGCCAGGAGAAGGACATAGGATACTTTTTATCCCGTTCGACAGCATTCCCGTGTCAAGTCATGAAACGTCAGTCACTATAAAACGTGGTATAACAAAAAAGAATCAGACTTGGAATAACAAAACGCAATTGACAACTTATATATATAATATATGTACACCCGTGCGAAGCCGGGGCGAGTAGCTAGTGTTATAATAAAAATCACGGCATTTAAATATGTTAGAATCAAAGGTAAGTACATAATACACTTAAAGTAAATATTTAATTGTAATTTTTACGAGAATATTATTATAGAAACAGCGAAGTTGCATTCCAATTCCATTTTTCATTGCCTTATGTTGAATGCTAACAATATCCAATGAATTAAATTACTAGAGCAGATTTTATTAAGGGTAGTAAACACCTAACAATTTCAGTAATATTATAGAGTTTGTGAGTATGATTGAATAGATGGATACGCAATAGATTTTGAAGCGGTTATTTTAATAGATAGAGTGATTATAGAGAAAGATTTATATATATAATACATGTACACCCGTGCGAAGCCGGGTCGAGTAGCTGGTATATTAATAAATACAAAAATATTCAATTATGAGCACCCGGGCAAGCCGACATAGGCTTCTAACAGAGGCTAAAGTAGGCTCCTAATAAATGTATAAAAAAACACAATAGCTGCCTTACAAGAAATATTCTTTCTGGAGCGATTAGGAACGCGCATGTTTTAGGGCGAGAAAGTCAGCGCGCCCAAACATATTTTATTATTCACAGATACGTATAAGATATGATCAATAACTCTATAATTATGTCTTTGTTTCATAGTCAGATGTCCGCCATTCTGCAATGATCATTAATTATTACAAAAGGACGGTAAAGCAACGCACGACTGAAAAACGCGGAAAGCGCGAGCTGGCGACGAGCGCGGTGTTTCTCGTTCTCTTTATTTACATTTACATGCACAATTCTACGTGCATATTCCCGCGTGGAAGAGCGTGTAAAGACAGCTTTGTTACATTAGAAAATAAAGGCTAAAGAAAAAAAAAGTAAACTAAAAGTTAAAGTTCGGCCGCTCAGTGTTTGCATTTCTGAGAGGTCGGGATTGACCATTCAACTGTTTGTTTTTGTAGTAATGTGACCAAATAACCTTGAATCAGCGCCGTCTAATGTGATTTTAAAACATATTGTTTTTATATTTGTTTAGTAACAAATAGTTAATAATTTTAGCCAAAATTAATAGGTTAATTGTAAGTTGGAATAATGATTAAATTTTTAATGTTATCACTCGTTAATAAGGCAAATAAAAGATATTTAAAATTTTGCCGTAAATTGTACGTCAGTTCAAAGTTACATCGGCCATTCGATCCTGCCCTGTCTGAAACGCAAACTCTGAGCGGCCGGACTAAAAGATAATTAGTTAAAAGAAAGACAAAGTAAATTAGTTTCTTTTCTATCAACGCATAAAGTTCACTATCGTTTTGTTCCACGTGTTGATGTGCAGAAGCGATTAGTGCAAACATACAGGAAGGACAACACATAAATATATTTGTTAGTAACCTTATCCTGGGAATTGACTGAGTAAGCGCTATACGAGACGGGGCTGTCAGCGAAGTCAAACGCACTCGCAGCGCGGTATGACAGCGGGTCTTCGGTAGCATGTCGGTACAAACATTGTATTAATGCTGGTAGTAAGGTGTATAGCCATGAGTATGTAAATATAGGGACTTGTAAGCAGGGTTGCCAACTGTACAATATATATATAATTATTTATTTTACTTTGAGTAACTTTATTATACCCATCATGTGTATGATATACAATTTTCTAATACAAAAAAAAAGTAATGGTAAATGGTTACGGTAACCAATGGACGCCTGAAGCATCAGCGGCGGCACATGACATGGCTGGTGCTATAAAAGGTTTTGTAATATGAAACTATTAAATAAAAATTGTGATATTTACATAAATAAATAAATAACATTGAAGCGTATGTTTGTAATTTCAACTTAATGTATATGAAAGAATATACGGTTAATATACTTATGTAAAATAAACTAATTAAAAAAAAAAAGGTCTGGTCATCTGTTTGTTTCACAATGCCTATGTCTACCCCGTACAGAAGAAGTCGTGACGGTATGGTATATATGATTTTAATCAGTTTCACGAAAACTATCCATAACTTGATGTACCTTTGCGAATAATCTGTACACGGGACTTGTGCGTTAAAATACGAGGCAATACTTTCAAAGTTGGCAACCCTGCCTATAATATAGGTAAGTTAATTAGGTTAGCAAAAGGAATATAAATAAACTACATATCAAGCCGGGTATAGTAATTCTTGCTCGAGACGAATTGCAACTTTAACACCTTGCAATAACCACGTTGTTAATCAAGAAAATTTCTACTATCACCTCGAGTTTGTCAAATGCTTGTAAGCTTATTCCAGAAGATTATATATCATCAATAGCTACAAACAAAATATACTCTTGTACATATAAATTTAAAGCCCATTTCATTTTGTCCCGGTTTTAATACATAATGAAATATTATTGTCAGAGGCTTTCTGATACTTTGCAATAGCTTATTTAGACCATGTCTTACCAGCGAAGTGGTCCAAATCGTCGACCACCTTCGCTTTGGTCTACCATGACAAATTAATAAAAAAAACTATAGTTACCGTGCGGCCAGCTGCTGATGGGTGGTGGTGATCTGATCATGTGTTCATGTACTTCCTTCAGGGTGAGTGGATCGTCTTCCACGAAGTCTAACGCGGTACTTCCAAATTCCTGAATATTTTATATTTATTTAGATGTCTAAATATTAAGGACCATTCAAACAGAGGCAATTACGGAGGCCACAGCCAGAGGTCGTTATAGAAATACAATTTGTAACTGTATATTTAATTTTAATTTAATATTAATACATTAAATATTCTAATAATTAATTACGTCTATGTGATTTGACTTCCGTGACTCAAGGAGCAAAGGAACGGATACTATGGAAAAACTTAGAGTAGGCCTATGTCACATCACGACAAACTGTTAACATTCAGATAGAAAAAAAAAACAATGAATTAATATCTAACAGGACCACAGGTACTGCAAAATATATGTATAAATTTGTAAAGTTAAAAATGAACAGTAATATTATTATTATGTGATACTTTCACATTGGACGAATCAAATCTCAAATCTATTGCTGAGGTGCCCACCTCGACGAGGGAGGTCAGGTGTTCACGTCGGTGCCTCTGATTCGGCAACTTTCTTAAAAGCGGACCGAACATGGAACGGTGACTGTGCTGATGATGTAATATGACAAGGATGCCACACTATGCAGATCCAGGGTTGTCACTCTATGTAACAAGCCTAGGTGGTCCAGCTAAGTAAAGCTAAGCAATCACGATTGTGTGCACTGAATCCCTCGCCCCTCGGTGTATCCGCGTGAAAAAAAGTGTCGTGTAAAGGCAGATTTCGAAGGATGTTTGTACTTTTTTACACCTTTGTTTACATTATTGATTACTGAAGTTTTACTAGGAATTTCTTTTTTTGTAGTAATAAATATAGCACTTGTTACTCAGGTATAGTGTAGCATTTCATTGGAAAAGATTTTTCTTAATTGAACCTATACTTTTTGGGTATATTCATTACAAAACATACAAATTTTTTCTCTTAATAATATCGGTGTAGAAAAACAACACATGTAAGTAACGGGATCTATTTTTTTGTTTTTGACAAAAAAAAACAATTAAAATTAAGTATTCATTACCTGTGACATGAGTATAGTGTCATCTGACTCACACTCCTCTGTGTGACTCTCAATTAAACTCTCTCTACTGGCCATTACTTGCTGCAATTAGATAAATAAAGTATTAAATAGCATGCTATTAGCTTCTGTCTGTGAATTTGTCCACATAACACACTAGGAAAATCCTCAAAATAATGATATGGACAGTGCCCATATCATAATTTTGAGGTCTTTTCTATTTCCATTTGAGCAAACTCTATAATACACAAAAAGATGCTGACGAAACAGCCACTTATGTGATCCTGAAGTATATAGTGGCTAGACATAATTCAAATATCTTTGGAAAGGTGTGGTCTCTCCGTGAACCCTGTGAAGATATATATAGTATTATTCTAAGAGGAATGTAGCTATTATAGTAGTATATATACAGCTGAGACTGCTGTAGTAGTCTCAGCTGTATATATACAACAGCCCAAACAAGAGGCTACTATTTATTCCATACATATAGACAAGGCCCCACCCCTAGAAACTAGCAATGCTATGAACTTGTAAATATCAAACATCATAATGATACTTTTAATTGTTACCATGTAGAAGTTGTTGAATTATTATTAATGAGGATTACACCCTTATTGCTCTTAAAATACTATATCAGGGCAACCTCCCTGCTGCCCCTCTGGAAACCATCATAGACAATTTCTAGAAATTTCACCTCAATAGACTAACTGACCTGACTTTGTGATCATGGTATCATAATTTACTGGTGCCCCATTAGCATATACCATCCCAGTTACGTCCATGAAAAAGGTGTAAAAGACTTACTTTTACATTAATATTATAGTTAAAAAGAAATATGAATAACTGTATAATATAATATGAGAATATTTGACAAACAATAGTACTATACAACAAGTTACTGCATAACAAAATATTAAATAATCAATGCTGTAATTAGGTATTATGTGAACCAACTGCATTCTTACATAATGTGCCTTGTAAATTTACTATTTACCTGTAAATATGGATTGTCCTGTCTTGACAGCCTTAGTGCTTCCATATCTTGGGCTATGTTTCTCGTCCGTCCAGGAGTTAATAGAACAGCAGGAGAACCGCTCATTGGGGGAGACAAAACTAAAATGTTCACGCAACATAAGTAATTATAACAATTTACTAACATCTACATATGCCTACATTATTAAACATATAAACTAATTTACCGGAAAGAGAATCGGTACTGCCTTCCATTTTTGTAACAAATAATTGTTAAAATAATGTTAATTTAAAGAGAATCCTGAAGGTAAATTGGATAGATGAATACTATCGAATATTATAAACTTTTCACTATAAACTAATTTGTTACAAAACAAGGATGGAAAAATATACTCTCTGAATACATTTAGAATACTTTTGATTTATTTATTTGCGCATTTTATGTTTTTAAGAAGGAAATTCTACGAAAAACTGATAAAATAGATTGTAGCAGGTTGTCAGTTCATTTGACATGACAGTTTGATTGACATTACCTCATTTTGACATAACAGCAATAACTTTGTCGTAGATGAAGAATAGACATAATTTTGTGTGAAATGGGGAATTTAACTGTATTAATAAATCAAATACGAAATAATCATCTAATACAAAATTAGAAACAAACAAATGAATAAATTATTTTCTATAATCGATATTATGAGGTTCGTGTAAGAGGTGTGAGCGAAATCAATTCTTTACCTTTGTTGTTTTCTATTTGTAACAGCTAAATAGTTGTAATGTAAAACATATATTAGAGAAAACTGTTCTTTTTTTTATAATAATCTACATTAAAGGTATATGTCGACTAATTGTAGAATAAAAAAAGTACGGTCGTTATTACCATATAGTATGTTGCATTCATAGGGTAAGAATAGGCAATACCACAGATAATATTACATAGTAATACTCTAGTATAACAGAGTCAATACTGCCTCATATTCATCTATTAAACACTTTCCGCCTTAATTTTATGTATTTATTTCACTATAAAAGTTGTTATACCTACTTATTGTTCCGTATTTGTCGATTCACCACTCCTCTGATTCTAAAATCCTATCTATGAAAGTAAACTTACAGGGTAGTCGACAGTCAACTTCAAAGCAGCAATAACATCTGTATTAATTCTCTTTTCAAACTATCTAGAAACAAATTAACAATATACGCATGAAATTTCGTCCAAATCGGTCATGCCATATAAGAGTCAGATGAAAAACACATGTATAGAATTTTATATATTACGATAAGCTTAACCGCACCATTGTAACAACTACTTTCAATTTCAAATATCTGAACATTTGATGTTTAAATGTTTTCTAATATATGGTAGGTTACATACTTATAATAACCAAAAGTAGCAGTCCCGCGCAGTTTCGGGTCACATTTTTAATCCGACACTAAAAGATTACCCTGAATATACAAATTCAAAATTATAAAAAATATATATATACTCTGTGACCTGTTTTGAACCTCGCTAAATACGCATGGGAAATTAATAAAACAACAATATTAAATATGATGTATGAATTTATTAGTAATGTGAACAAAGGCACTATCCTAGCTAAGAAGGCACCTTTCAGCAAATATTGTTTCAATGCGTTGTAAATAATCATTTCAATGTCTTTAACAAATTTACCAAAGCATAAACTATTTACATTTGAATTCATGCAATTTATAGTCAATATATTGTTTTTATAACAACAGCAAACAGTGCTAATAACTATACTCATTTTGAATTATTACTAAGTGAGAAAAATATTAAATTTACTTTGCAAATTTCAATAATGAATATTCAATTATCATAATTTTTTTCGATTAAAATTCGTTGTCGGTGAGTACAAATTGTGCAGCGCTCCTGTATCCCAGGATCCTGTTCTTGATCCCCTTGAGCTTAGATATGTAGTGTTTGTGTATCTTCGTGTTGGTCCTCTTGTAGCGGAGGGCCGTTATCATTTTATCCACAGTGTAATGCAGCCACAGTATATTTGTGTATGGCTCGAAATTCTTCCAATCATTTCTGCAAAGAGAAACATAAAACTTTATAAACATCTATATATTTACAATTATTTACAAGCTCATTTAAAAAAAGATATTTTGTTTTTACATTTGGGATATTCCAAATTACAAAAACTGTAATACAACCTCCAATTAAATAAACTACAAATAATACTTTTTCGTTACAATATTCTAGCGGAATTAAACATAATCATATAATTTGAATGAATTGAAATTGTAATAATCATAGTTTTTTAGTTCTATCACTTTCATAAAGTTCTAAAATAGTTTTTTGTATACATGTTCAACTGACAGACAGTAAAATTATTAAATGCCTCAGAACTGGTATTAAATTATTACATGTAGCGTATCTAGAATGCTCACCCCAACTTTTCCCTCATGAGGCGGTAGACCTCGAACTGGTAGTCGCCGACTGCCTCGAAGAGCGAGTCATCGGCCGCGAGGTCGTTGTAGAGCGCGGCGCAGTCCGCCGCCAGCGGCAGTGAGAGCCGCGACAGCGAGTAGTCGATGATGGTGGCGGCCACCCCGCACCGGGCCACGCGGTGCGCGCGACCACCCAGCACGAACGTCGCCCACTATATACAAAATATCATATTTATTTATTCAATTTTATATAAATGTAAATCATTGGGACAGCCTCGGTGGTCTAGCGGTTTAGCACGGTGTGGCTGGAGCGGGAACAAAACTACTATTTTAATTAAAAATCGAATAATAGTAAAAAATGTGTATATTTCCCAAAAGGGCTCACAGCGAACAACAAGTAACAACAACATATAAAGAAATCAAAAGTGACATAAAAAACAGATATCAAAAATACTAAGTTTATAAAAAAATGTTAGACAAGCTGCCAGCAACACTGCTTTATTGACGATGGTCGCGGGTTCGATTCCTCGCACGGTGCAAACGTTTGTATTCATGAGTACGATACTTTGTGTCGGTCTGGGTGTTTTTTATGTATATTAAGTATGTATTTACAAAAAGAATATCAGTTGTCTAGTACCCATAACACAAGCTCTGCTTATATGTATGTGGGACTAGATGGCGATGTGTAATTTGTCCAAGTTTATTTATTTATAATTGTAAAAATGAATTTTAAATAAAAATCAACGTCTGTTGTTTTGTTCACTTAAAAGACATTGATACTGTTGTGTTATGGCTTTATTCTAAAAATATATAATATAGATATAAGTACATATACCTATTTTACAGGACATAAGCATTAAATAATTAATATACCATACTATTTATATATATATAACAATCCCCCTACATAAGATTAATTATAAGAAACGTAAACAAGTTACTAGCGAGAAGAAGAGATATATAACGAGAGAAAGACAAACGAATGACGACATGTTGTACGAGACACTGTTGGTTAAGAACAATGGAATATAATATGGTACCTTCTGATCAGTAGGAGCTATGAGCACGTTCCCCCAGTGAAGATCACGATGCTCAAATTGGAAACTCTCCTCGCCAACCGCTAAACCGAAAGCCACCTGGAACACGAATTGTTATGTTGTTAGAATAAAATATAAGTGAAACGATGTAAATGATAAAGGGTCTGACAGATACCGATAGTGAAAAATATATTTATCTTACTAATATTATAAACGCGAAATTTTGTCAGTGTGGATTGATGAGTGGATGCTTGTTACTCGCAAAAACTACGGAACAGATTTTGATGAAACTTTACAGTAATACAGCTTTTATATCAGAATAACACAGGCTGTAAATATCATGCGGGTGAAACTTTTTTTTTACGGACTACTCTAATTAATGCTGTTGGCCGCAGCTGGCCTTTACAGCTTCACCGTACGTAAGGGGGCGAGTGCAGATGGTACTCCAAACCCGCGGAAGGACTTATGGAGCGGCTGAAGGCCAACTCCTGCCTGACGGACACGACTTTAGTTTGAGGGCACCACTAGGGGGTTCGAACCTCGGCTCAGGCCGTCGTATTATCGGTCCCCGTTTGAATTGGACGGGGGATCGATCGGAGGGGTTGGGTGAAACTGCGGGCACAGCTATGTATAAATAGTTGTTTTTAAACTTTCGTGTTTAATACACATTACTTATATTGTTAACCAGGTCTTCTTAACACGAATCATTTTATGGTAAATCATTGTATTTACCTCTCTAGAAGTTTGGACTGGGCATGGTCACGAGCTGTACCACAATATTATTCGTCTTAAGACCCAATTAACTATACAAGTAAATATATTAGTATATTACGAATATAGTAGTAGTTGATGTATATGAATATAGCACAGATCCGTCGTGATATGGAATGAGTGAATCGTGATGAGTGAATGGCACTTATTATTTCTGATATCTATATAATATGATATGTTATTAGACGGATTCCTATTTGATGATATCATTTATAGATATGGAATCAGGTAGATGTCTAATCACTTAAAAAGTGTATGAACTTCGTAAATACATTTTTGGTGCAAAAATAGGTTTCATAGAATTCTTTTTTAGTTATATTTGTTTTCAAATTAGATAAATAAAATAACAATAAATTCCAATATTACTATTTGCACTTCCGTAACCCCCACTAACCACTTCCTTGCGTCACACGATGTTTTAAGTTGACTGGAAGAGATCTCATTAAGAGATAAGTTTTCACAAATTTCTTTTCTAAAATGTATTTGAAATCTTGTATTTTAAAGTGCAATAAAGAATATATATAGTTGCAATGAGGTCGTAGGTTTTAGTTTTATAGTAAACATATAAATACGATCACTATTATTTTCAGAAAGTATTTCTAAAAGAAAAATAAATTTTCTAATTTCGTCTTTAAACACAAAACACCGTCACATTGTAGAACTTGCATAAAATTTAATTTATTAGATGAAAATGTTCGAAGAGCAGTGGGAGGGTTGTTAATTAAATTTTCCTTGCCTTGGCAAGGCCTTATACATAAATACTGCACTGCATATTCCTAGTCTTTACATAATATAAAATGAAGGCGCTTCCGCTGTCTGTTCGTTTAGATGTTTTAAACTAAGCAACGGATATTAATGCAGATTTTAGCAGTAGATACGAGTGATTCAATTCTGTGTCCTGTATAATTAGTATTAATTAATATTATAAACGAGAAAGTTTGTGAGTATGTTTAGTTACTCTTTCACGCAAAAACTACAGATTTTGATGAAACTATACAGTAATATAGGTTATACATCAAAATAACACACAGGCTATAATTTAAAAAGATATTATGTAAAATGTGCGAAATATAAAGATAAATGTCAAGTAAAGGTGCAGACGAAGTTACGCGGGTCAGCTCTAGTATTATGTATAATAATCATTTCACATCATCATCTCATGCACGGATGCGATCAAAAAATGTACACAGACAGATAATAGATTCTATAATAGTTTAATACAACAAGAATAACTGTTTAGATAAGACCGCCTTTGTATCAGCAGTATATATATATTTACCATTTTAATTTTTTTTGTTATGTAATTGGTGCAATAAAGAGTATAAATAAATAAACAAAGAATACGTTTTATACGATATGACGCGGGTAACACCGCGGCATACTACTAGTTAGCTAGTTACATATACAATACTAAAGACTTAACGTATATAACAGTACGCCATGTATTCTTAAAACTAAGCATAAAACTCAGTCATTGACCTGACATTAGAGATTTTACATACAAAAAAAATATGCCGAATAACGAAAACATATGTGTAAACAGACGGGTTGTTACACCGTCGTACGAGTGAAAGTACAATGTCATCTGACGAACATACAACCAGGGTTGTCAATCCTTAAACACAGCATCGTACTAAAACAATCAAATATCGTATATAATTATGGATATTACTTCAAACTGATCTTTGAATTTGGACCGATTACTGGTCAAAATTTCGTACAAACTTGCAGCAGGATAGGATTGTCCTAGTACAGAATGCTAAAGATATACGTACGGGATGAGAGAGCCAATTTGAACCAATATACGTGATTTTATAGTATAAAATTGAATATTCTATAAAATTACATATATTACTTCAAATTGGCTCTCTCATTTCAATATCCTTAAACTTTGAACGATTATAGATCAAAATATTGTACAAACTTGTACGAGAATAAAAAACTCACGTAGAATATATTGTATTCTGATCGATTACTGATCAAGATCTCGTACAAACTTGTACCAGGATAAATGATCTAGTATAGAAGGCAAAAAATAATCGTGAAATATCATAATAAATAGGATGGATAGTATATTTTTACACAAAAATCGATTAATAAATAATTTATTATTTTGGTTAGTATAATAGTTATTTTAAATTAAATTATAACCAATTTAGTCTTGTCTTTTAACACTTGTATGAATTGAAATATTCTAAAAAAATTGGATATTTAAAAATATTATTATATAATCCATTTTTTAAATAATTATATACCAATGCTTTCTTTTCTCATAATCTATTATTTTTTCACATCCCTATCTATTACTCTCTACTAGAGATAAGCGATTGTTCCAAAACATTATATTCCAATTTGTATTAATGACTTGGAAGAAAATTTCCATTATAATGGTGCTGGCCAGTGAAAGTTAATAACGCATATTTTTTTATGCGTAACCCTGCATTTGCAATTCAATTTTTTTTATATATTACGGCAAACAAGCATACGGCCCATCTCTGGTTATCGTAGCTTATAGACGCCTGACACTTTAATCTCAATTAAATCACACAATCGCGTATCTCTAATATGCACACACACACAATTAAAGAAATAAAAAAAAAAAACAAAAACTCTGGAAACATCAAAAGCTGGCATAGTCTCTGCAGAGGATAAGTGAAAATCTAGTCAAGATATGTACAGTCACTTGAACTAGAAATTTACTTATCATCCGAAGAAACTGATCATGGTCATGCTGGTGCTGTAAAGAAAAACAATACACTAAGAGGGTTCCGTACTAACATATTTTGTGTTTTATGTATTAAAAATTCAATCGCATTAATAAGGAAACGAGCTCATTAACTATAGGTCAAATCTAAATTAAATTGATATGAGATTGGATGATAGGCATCAGCTTCCAAATAAAAAAGTAATCATCCAAATAGGTTTACATAAAAAAAAACTGCGTAACACGTAAAAATCACAACAAAAAAACAGATGAAGTGAGAACCACCAAAATTTTTTTAAGTCGTTTGCTACACCTATTTCATCTTTCGGACTGTCTAAAACTTTGATTGCATATTTTATTGACAGATTTATTAAAATATTATCATTACGAAATGTTTAAAAACATTTTGTAACAACAGTACCTACGAATTATGATTTGCGGACAGCTTTGGTTTTCATTTTACGTGCTGCAGAATCGCATAGAATGCATATGGTGAACATATGCGAAAATCTTAGGCTGATAACAGACAGTCGGTTAGTCGTCAGGTTGAGAGCTTCCAGTAGATTATTTAACCGGATGTCCGGATAAACGTATCAATGAAACCTAATAAAACACTCGTCAAGTTTAACTAATCACGGAAGATGTTCTGAAGTTATCAGAATTATTTACTTCTATTAGGCCGGAAACATATTTTAGTAAAGTTTGGTTAGTACGACACCCTCGGAACACAAAAACAAAACAAAGCCATTGTCAATTATTAAAACAAATAAAAAAAACATTAAGGCCGCATTACAGTAATTGTAATAATACTAAATCAATATGCTACATAACATTTTACAAACAAATAACTTAAAACTAAATAACTTAATATAGATCTGTTAGCGATAAAAATTAAATTGCTTGTAAGCTAATATTAGTAATAATCTATCTGTGTGCCAAATTTCATCGATATCCTTTTACAAATACCTATAGAAACATACATATTTTAGGGCAAAATACGTTCAGTAGTTTTTGCGTGAAAGAGTAACAAACATCCATCCATACACAAACTTTCGCGTTTATCTTAGTCAAATTTATGCACACATATAATCTGCTACAACTAATTATAGCGAATACTTAATTAATTACAGTTAAACTATTACATTACAACAAAACTGGTTTAAATATAAAATAACGTCATGAAATACGTCACAATAATTAACATAACTTGAATAATTATTATTAAGCTGATTGTTTTATTGGCGACAATACAAATCCAACAGATTTTACTATTCCTATATACAAGTGGGAGATAGCACGGAAAATCAGTTAGCCTAGGATGGACTGTTTACCAGGAATTGACCACAATGATTTTAGTAGTACATGGGGCCGTTAGCTCCTATTACTAACAATCCATATCCCGCTCCAAATGCGGAGGAAGGAGATTGTCAACCTGACAAACCTGAGAGAAGAGAAGGTCAATCTGACAAGGTACATTGCTAGCAATGTACCTTGTCAGGTTGACCTTCCCACGGTTCCCTCTGGAAACCATCGTGATAAATTCCTGGTGAATTTGTCACGATGGGCTAACTGACCTGACCTCATGCTCATCTTATCATCCTCCACTGGTGCCCCGCCAGCGCAAACCGTTAGCGCAGGCGGGTGCTTCATTCCATTATCATCTATAAAAACAAAATTCCCGCTCCCACCCGGTGGGGAAGGGGATGTTATCAGGTTGATCTCCACGCAGTTCCCCTTGAAAACCAATCTGACAAATTTCTCGTGAATGGTCACAATGGGCTGATCTGACCTTCACCTTATTATGCACCACTAGTGTCCCGCCAGAGTAAACCGTTAGCGCAGGAGGGTGCATCATTACATTATCACCAATAAAAAACTCAAGCTATATTTAGCTTGGGACTAGATGGCGCTATGTTTGTTCAGAGTCACTATAATTATGATTCTATAGTGATATGGGATACCGTGTATATGTATACTCCATAGTGATATGTGATAGATACCATGTATATGTATAAATAACTCGCAAATTTATGAGCACTCGGATGAAAACGGAGAGTATGGCTAGACATCAATAAAAAACCAAGCGTTAATATTTCTTTTATCATTATTATCATAACATGTAACATGTACACTCGTACATCTATTATTACCAATACAAGGTATTCGATCGACATACGTCAATTGATGACTCACTACAATCATAAAAATGATGGCGATGAATAAGCGATCAAATTACTAATTTGCCTGAACACAGCATATTATGAAATCAGTACAGTCGTCGTCATAATTAAGAGACCACTCTGTTCGATAATATGTCCACCATGAATTACTTTATATATGTATGTATACTTTTATAATTATTTTAGTTTTATTTATTTATTTATTTTAGTCTGCGTCGGTGGTTTAGCGGTTTAGAACACCGCTTTACTTCCGATGGTCGCGGGTTTGAATGCTCGCACCGATACAAACGTGTGTTATCTATGTATATTATGTATGGATTTACAAAAAATGTAACTATTTATTTCTTCTATCAGTTGTCTACTACTCATAACACATGTTCTGCTTGGCTAGGGACTAGATGGCGCTGTGTGAAATGTTATAAATGTGAAATGTGATCATTTTTTATAAATACACACATTATATACAACATAACAAATAACACCCGGATCGATACAAACAATCGTACTTATGACTACAAAATGTTGGCACCATGCGAACAGTCGAACTCGCGAACATCGGAAGTAAAGCGGTGTGCCAAACCGCTAGACCACCGAGGCCGTCAAATAGTATTAACATGGTAAATAGCCCGTTTATATAATGTATACATTAATATTAATATGAGACGACAGGAGAATACCAAGACGAGTAGCTTATAGTACTAAAAATCAAGCTCAAACATTGTACTACAAAGCTCGCTACCTTTATTTTAGATTTATTTTTAAATCCAAATGATTTAACTTTAAAACTATGCTATTTTTTATCTAAATTATTAATGCGCCATATAACCTTCCCATTAGTAATATCCTTTACAAAGGTTGTCTGAAAAAGATAGCAATAAGACCCCCACTGGTATCTTATCTTTCAACGTTTATATTTTATTGATGGAATAAAGTAATAAAATAAATAGATAAACTAGATAATATAATAAAAATTAATAGTCTATCTCTTTCACACAATCTATCTGTCGCCTAGCTGTCTGTGTTCAAATATGACGTAAAAAACCTAAGGAATTTAGATGGTATTTTCTCTAATATATTGCATTATGTATAGCCAGATTTTTAATCACAGAGACTAAATTGACGGGTGTAAATATCAAATTTTCACTAATGTTACCAGTTATAGAAGGGTAGTGCTGTACCTCTATACCGATTTATTGAACCGTAATTTTTCCAGAGAACATTCCACAAAACATTTCAATACTTGAATTTATATCCAAATAAGATAGAAAAAAGTAATAAAATAATTACACGCAATCTGAAATCGTAAACTTCCATCGTGGATATCCTGTAGAGTGATCATATGCATTTTATGAGTATAATTATAGAAGTTATAATAAAACGGGTTTTGGACGCGTGTTGACCCGCAATCAAAGTGTAATGCAATCAGATGTTGAAATGTTCAATAAAAAATGCATATTAAATAAACCATATAAATACATTATACATATATCATCATAATATCCATCAATTATCATCAATTATCCATCAAGATGGGCTGGGGGAAAGCAATTGCAAAGTATAAGAAAGGAGTCCGTAATAGTTTTTTTCTACAGTCCAATACAATTTTGTACTGTTCTTAACTAGCAATCAAGATTGCAGAGTAAATAAACAACAATATTAGTTAGTTCTTAATAATAATTTCTAATTCTTCTAAATTCTTCTAAGTTTTAAATAATCATTGTATAGTATAGAATAAAGTCGCTGTCTGTCCGTACTATGTATGCTTAAATCTTTAAAACTACGCAACGGATTTTGAAGCGTTTTTTTTTAATAGATAGTGATTCTAGAGGAAGATTTATATATATAATACATGTACACCGGCGCGGAGCCGGGGCGAGTAGCAAGTAATAGCATAATTTTAGTCTACAAAATGAATTGAAACAGCTATATTCAATTTCATCACAATGTTAATAAATAAATAAAATAAATAAATAATTAATTGCTAGAGTTGGTCAATTTTTTTTAATGGATGATAATGGAATGCTACACCAGACTGAGCTAATGGTATACATGACAGGGCACGAGTGACAAGGTGAGTATAAAAGTCAGGTCAATTAGCCAAGGGGTACCGGTACCGCCTGGAGGTCAACTTTAGATGGTACATTGCTAGCAACATTAACAACCACAATACTGACAATCCGTTCCCCACACTTGTGTTCAGGTTCCATTTTTTTGTAAAGTAATATCTGTCACTTTCTTTGTGACGACATACTTTTGGCCTATGTTTTATTCCTGTATGCGTATTTGTGTGTTTTTTTATATAACGATTACACTTTGTACTACATTACTACATTTTATACATTACCTAGTAGGTTATATTAGGAAGTTTTTAAACTAAACGAACAAATAAAACCCAACGAAATTGTAATAATATAAAATAGAAGCTGCTTATTGAAAATTGACCAAAATAGTTTACCTGCAAGAATAATGCGTGCGCTTGCTCCGCGCTGTTGAACTGGTAGCTTTCCAAATCTTGACCGGCGTTGGCTAGCTCCAGCACTATATACTGCTGGTCTATAGGCAGTATAGCTGGATTGTCGTTCTCAGAGCCTTTACACTCGTCGTACAGTTCCCACAGGTCGAGCAAGCGTGACGGGTAGCTGCCGTTAACACACCTCACGGCTAGTACCTACCGACAAGTAGAAAAAAAATTTATTAATAGGTTCATAACAATAACCGCAGATGGTATCGGCTATCAAAGCTATCGCAAAAAAAAATCCAAATGAAAATATCTTTATTCATGTAGGTTCATTACTGACTCTTTTATGTGTGTCAAATATGTCAAATCTAACGTCAGTTCGGAGTGATTTCATGCCAAGAAATTCACCTCTTATTCTTTTCAAATAAGCTTGTACATGATTTCAAAAATACAGTAAACTCTGAAAATATAATGACCACCAGAATATGTTATTGCATTTTTGTCAAAAGGGATATTAATCAGTAGCTATAACTGGAACAGACTAGTTCACACAAGCAGCCCCGTTCACAAGTATGACGGATGAGCCCGCCATCATTGCCTCTCAGTCATCTTAGAGCACATTGACATTAAAATCATAATAACACAAACGATCTTTGGACATAAATAATGATAGAGTGTGATTATTATAAAATAATACGCATTTTATTTGACACCTAATATAGCTATTAATATTGTATACTACCAATACCTAATCAGATAATAGAATGGAATTTGTATCTAAATATAATGACATATGGTATGTTATCAATATATTAATATTTTACATATTTTGTTGTATTATCTTTAAAAGTATAAAACATGAAAGTGGATGGACGAAAAAGAGGACAACCAAAAAAAAGATAGATGGAATGTGTGAAAGATGATATGAATAAAAGGAGAATAAGCTCTGACTATAGAGATCGGAGTCGTGTCGTATCGACAATTAAAGAGATTGGTGGCAGATCGTGGAAAATGGCAAGAGATCCACCGACAAGAGCGCGGCTCTTAAATTAATTAATTATGAATTATTTAATTCTGAATGAATGAAGATATGATGGTCGTCAGTGATCAGTGGAAGAGGATGACACTGCACCGATCACAAATAATGGGATAAAAAGCAAAACAACGATGATAAAATTTGTTGTATTATTTTTACATAGTATAAAGTCGCTTCCGTTGTCTGTTCACTTAGATCTTTTAGGCTACGCAACTGATTTTAATGCAGTTTTTAGCAATAGATAGAGTGATTCAAGAGGAGGGTTTATATGTATAATACACGGTATAATACAAGGTTTATAAATATATTACTAGCGTGTCAAGCCTGGTCAAATCAAATTTATGAATAAACTGGCGAGCAGCACCGTGTGTATATTTGTATTTGGAGCCACTTTTGATTTAATATAAAAACTTTTCGTCAAAACCTGTCAAATTTGGTTCATATATTGAGATTACAATTATTCTGCAAAATATGTGTTAAATTTCATAAACATATCTCAAACGGTTATTTAGATATTAATGTCCAAAAATCGTCATTTTTTCACTGAGTCAACTATAGATCAAAATGTATATAACCCACTTCCAGATGACCTAGGAAGTATCAAATTTGGTATGCAGATAGGTAATTAGGTGAATATAATTCGCACACAATAAAAATCTGAAACTGGTAAATTGTTATTACGTATTACTACAAGTTTTTCACTTTAATATATTAAAATTCTATGAAAACGTCGATAGCCAGCTACAATTGACAATATATTAAAAAAAATCTCATCTTGTACTCACGGAAATAATATGAAAACGTCGATCATTACCAATTTACGTTGACCCCTTCACATCAGTGTCGATAACTATAAATTGACAAATATTATATATGAGATTAAATATTTTAATTGTTTTGCTATAATTTAGATTCTGTCTAAAATATACTCGTACTTATAACTTAGTTATATAAAATTTAATTTATTATGTTATTAACTGAGATTTGGTATTAATTATTGTTTCAATATTTTAGTCTTGAAAACATCGATAGTGTAAACATTATTTTTATAAATGGTATTAAATAATAGGACAAACTTTATTATGGAAATGTCGTTAAAAGGTAGACGATATCAATGTTTTGTTTCTGGATATCTAACCGTCATAAGCATGCTTTGTAGTTTACGACAATTTATACTTTCTTAAATTATACTTATATATTTGTGATTATATATACATTATTTTAGTATATATACGTATGGTATAGGCATAGTTTAAACCAAAAATGAATAAATTATTTTTTATTTTATTTTATTTTTTATTATTCTTTTAATGCATACATAATATACATAATCATAAAACATCCAGACACAAAAATGAGAACTTGTTTGGTAACAAATTGTTTTCTTGAGAATTCAATAGATAACAGTCAATTTGTTACATAATCGTCTTTACGAACTATAGCGTGTCAATACCAAGTTTTATTATTTTATTATAATAATGTATTGTTGATAGAGAACAATTGTACACATATGCTATTACTATCCACAAATCACAAGGCCTTAGTTTTGGCAAAAAGTGTCTTTCCTCTATATTTAATAAAGGGCAGGTTTCACGTTGGACTCTTGTTATAGATGTATTATTACAATCTAGATCCAAGTCACGAGAGCTCTATTATATGCAAAAACCATCTGTGGAAATATACCGTCATTTAAAACCCAAAAATTCCTGATACTGAATTGGTAATGCACTTGAACATTTAAAAGTTACAAGAAAATAAGAAATTCCAAAATTGAACAAAAAAAGACAATTGTGCAAAATATACGAAAATACAGTAATTTATCAAAAATATTAATTTAGTTATAAATAAAGTATAATTTATGTACTAATAAAAAGTAATGATATCCCATCAAAAATATAAATGTTAAATGTTAGTTTGTTACACAGATTTATATATTATAGATAGACCTTGATATTGCTATTTATCGACAAAAAGATGAGATTAAATATTGAAAGTTCAATGAACTGTATGAAATGTATTTTAACAATATATATCATGTTTTCTTCTTATAATTAGGAAATATACTGTAGGTAAGGACTAGTTTTTTTTCATTATATAAAACAACCAGACCAATATACTTAGTTCACAAGTTCTAAACATGTTACTTGTCGGTTCCTATTTAATATTAATAGTAACTAGCGATCGAAAGTAAAATAATTGTATATGACAATTGACAAAACATTATTATATATTATATAAAGAGAGAAATGATATTTTAATTGTTATAATATACATTTAAGAACAGTTCATTGAACTTGGCAACATTTAGATCATAATTTTGTCGTAGAGTCAACAATCAAAATATATATCATAATATTACTCATTATCATTTCACATTTATGTTTCTTTATGGGACAATAATATATGTTACACGGTATAATACAAGGTTTATAAATATATTACTAGCTAAGTAATAGATCAGTAGCAATCTTTCTGGTCAAATCAAATATTATGAATATCAATAAGCTAGAAAAACCTCTGATACTTATTTATTTCTTTATTTAAACAGTCATCATGCAGTTATATATGCAGTCAGACTGATACAAAATCTATATATGTATGATATCAAATTCTATTTTCAGCGGTTATCACACTTTAGTTCCAATGATCGTGGGTATGATTCGCACACAATACAAACCTTGCATTCGTAAGTATTAATTGCATGTAGTTGTACACGTATTAGTACAAGTATCGTGGGTGTTTCTATAAAATCACAATATCTTTGTTCATGTATATTACAGTCTATTACAGACTCTATTATATGTCAAATCTACCGTCAGTTCGGAGTGCTTTCGAGCTACGAAGAAATTGAACTGTGTATATCATATATTAAAAAAAAAAGTATTTATGTGTATCACTATAGGTATTAAATGACTGATAGACAGAATACTTATTTCTTTATACCTATACTATTTTATATCTATTCAATTATATGACGAAATTTCACAATTTCGAGTATTATTGCTCGATACTCGAAATTGTAAACAATTGACAAACGGTATTATATATTAGATTAAATATATTTTAATTGTTTTGGTATGAAAAGATTGATCCAGCCGTAAAATGACTGACCGCATGGACTTTAACCTTTCATATCGTAATATAAAATAATTTAAATATTGACCTGGTATATAATCTGTTGCTAAGACAACATATTATATATACAATATGTATAAGCATTCTTTCATGTTTTTAATTTTGAAAATATTGTCTATATACTGTAAATTAGATAAATTACTAACACCCGATAACACGTGATATGGTAACAAAAAGACATCCGGACAAACTTTATTATGGAAATGTCGTTAAAAGGTAGACAGACAGATACAAAGTTAATTATAATTAAATAATAATGACCCAGCACAATATACACAGCATCATCCAATCCCAAGCATGCTTTGCTTGGTAGTACCAACCAGTACTGGACAACTAACAAATATACTATTCTTTTAATGCATACATAATATACATAATCATAAAACATCCAGACCAAGACAAAAGACCATACTCATGAATACTAATGTTTGTATCGAACCCGCGACCATCTGAGATAAGGCTATGCTAAACTGCTAGACCACCGAAGCCAATTCTCGTATAGATAGAATTATTGTTATTCCTACATGTGAAATTCTCCAACATACCAGTTTAACGCTGAGTTTACAAGCTTGGCATTTGCTGGAGCCGAAACATTCTTTATTATTTTTTTATATTGAAGGTTTTGGGCTAATGTCAGGTGTTAGCATTGTCATCTGTAGCATTGCGACCTATATACATCTATTGTGCTCATAGACCAAATAAACACAAATATCATAGGTCAAAAATTACTTAGCACTTACTAACTACATTCCATAAGTGTAAGTAACTCTGCCTATCGCGTTTTCACGCCAACACTACTGATTCGATATAAATGAAATTTTGTACACAATCTAGATCCTGAGAAAGGAGATGGGCTACTTTTTAATGCAAAAAAGGGTTGTAAAGGTGGGATGAAAGTTTCTATGGAAATATCGTCATTTTTAAAACTAGAATGATTTTAATTTTAGATACTTATAAATACATAGGCTAAAAGTTACTTAGAACCTAGTAACTACATTCCGTAAGTTCATGCAACGAAATTCCATTGATTTGTGCACAAGACCGGATTGGTGGCAAACGCATATAAACTTGCGCAAGACGACCCAAATGTGTCACATATTTGTGCTTGTATAGGTTATTGATTAATGTGTAAATATAGAGCATTACAATTGCAAGTAATGCTATGATTAAATTACAATGCTTACTAATATTATAAATGCTAAAGTAATTGTCCACGCTGCTTTCACGCCAAAACTACTGAACCAATTTAAATGTTAGTTTGTTACACAGATAGATATATTATAGATATTGAGAAAGGATATAGGCTATTTATCATGCGAACAAAAATGGTTATAAGCTATTGAAAGAGGAGATGTAAGTTTGTATTGAAATTCGTCATTCTTGAAGCTAGAACGATGTAATGCATGTTTTATTTGCTTCATAATTAAAAATGCTATACAAGGTCACGAGGACGAAGTCGCGGGCACAACTAGTTTTTTTTTATATTATATAAAACAACCAGACCAATATTTTTTTTAGTTTAGTAGGTGCTAATAATCAATTTTGCTTATTCTATTTAATGATATGATAGAGTGATTCAAGGAGAGTTTATATGTAAAATACTTGGTGTTATAGTATAGAGCAAGCCATTTAAAAAGAGAAAGACATTTAAAATGAACATACAACTAAATATATTTATTCAATAAGAACAATTTCTCAGTTGGACTCAATTATTTGCTTTTTCTTTTAAACAAATCTGAACACGATCATAATGTTGTGACACTAGAGACAACGCTAATCTCGGGCACGTGTCAATATGTGCATAATTATATCTCATTATATTTACATTCAAGTATAATATATGAAGACAAACTATTATCTTTATGGTACAAGACAAGTAATATATGTATTGAAACAACAAGAACATGCGGTATCTAGTGAGATTTCATACTTTTGTCATGACACCAATTTAAATACTAACGTGCATATAAAATTGAACGAAACTTAATGATTTTTTTAATACCTCAGGACAATTCACACAGGCCATCTAGTCCTAAATTAAGCTACCTAAAGCTTGTTTTATGGGTACTAGACAATTGATATGAATACATATATTTTTTTTTGTAAATACATACATATTATATATAGAAAACACTCAGACTGATACAAAAAAATATAGTCATGAATACAAATGTTCGTTCCGTGCGAGGAATCGAACTGGCGATCATCGGAAGTAAGGCGGTGTTCTAAACCGCTAGACCACCGAGGCCGTCAAAATTATCATGTATTACATAAAATTATTACTGAACCACTACTGAATATCAAAGGACAGTCATTTATAAAAAAAATAAAGCTTTATCTATTCTTTTTTGTCAGTAGTGTAGTGTGTATGTTATGGGTACTAGATAATTGATATAAATACTTTAAATACTTGTAACCAGACCTTTACAATCATACTCTTGAATACTAAATGTTAGCACCGTACAAGAAATCGAACGCGCGGCCATCGGAGGTAAGAGGTGTGCTAAATCTTTAGACCACCTAGGTCGTCACTTTTAATAAGAATGATATCCAGAGTATATTATGTAAATTAGGCCAGTGTATACACAAAGAACATTTAATCGTATGTACATAGCCATAGGACTTAACTTTGTGTTCATTAATCTGTCACAAAGCAGTGATGTAACTAACAATATTAACAAAATACTTGACCTAAATAAAACTATTCAATGGACATTGTTTTCTTTTAATAATATCTAGATAATATATCGTTTTAATTAGCAAACGAGCAATGCAGCTGTGTAAAGATAAGTGTCTGTCTGTTATCACTGTGCCAGTTGCATTATCAAATAGTATATAGTAAGAGTAACAAAGAGGTCCCTTAATCAATAGAAATGATTCATAAAGCTTCTGTCCTTAAGGCCAGACAATAATACTACCGAGATACAGTTGTTTTGCCAGGAAATGTCCTAGTTTTTGTAGTGTCCTGGGAACTCTAGAATAGTTTTTAAGCAACGTAGAAATGATTCATTAAGTTAACGATAGGCTCATGTCTTTAAAGTCAGTACTACCGAGGTTAGAGTGGCCAAACGTCCAGTTTTCCCAGGACATGTAGATTTTGACGGGACGTTCTGAATAGTCTTTTACTATTGCAACTCTATCACTGTGTTCTCTAATTTTCAGTCTATCCAAGACATACAAAAAATATATCTTTCCTCTTTATAAAGTTATAGTATAGATTTTAAAATACCAAATTTTCAACTAATATTTTGTTACAATTGAAGCTAATTTAAAGATTCTAAATTAATATTAGCATTTACAGAATTAGGCATTAACTGAAACTAACAACAAAAACGTTTCTGTTCGACCGACCGAGTCAAGAATAGAGAATGTGGTAACAAAAACAGCAGGTAGAAAGACCAATTATAGCAGTGTGAAAAAAAAACAAAAGCGGATAGAAGACCTGACCTTAAAGCAGGTAGGGAAAGGTACAGAATCACCACGTGGACTACATAATAGAAATTGAAAACGTAGCAACATTCTTTTAACGAACAGAATAGTTAAGTTTGTGGTATTTTTAATGTAGTAGGTACAAATACTTATGAACGCTAGCTTATTATTATATACTAGATGTGCCCGCAGATTCAGCGGCATGAAATTTATATGTGTTATTCTGATATACAAGCTACATTACTGTAAACTTTTATCAAAAACTGTTGAGTAGTTTTTGCGTGAAAGAGTAATAAACACAGATGCATCCATTTAAACTCACTAATAAACAAAACGAGGTAACATATATAATATAAAATGAATAAAAATATCAATAATATAAAATGAATGAATATAAATAATATAATATAAAATGAAAGGACACACTTTCCTTCCTACCGTTTCATATTATAAGTAAAGGCGTAAAGTTCGTGAGAGTGGAAGTTCGGCATAATATCGGGAACTACTGATTCGATTTTTTTAATTCTTTCAGTGTTTGATAGTCTATTTATCGTGGAAGTATAAAGACTATATAAGATCACGCCACGACAAATAGGGACGGAACTGATTAAAAATGTTGCAAAAACGAGAGAAATGTGAGACAGACGAAGATGCGCGGGAACAAGTTTCATATAATTTCCGCCAAATTTCATGAGACTTATGGTAGTAATCTAAATATATATATGTAATTATATAACTCAAACTTGACCGACGTAGTGATCTATCAACGCACAGCCCAAACCACTGGACGGATCGGGCTGAAATTTGGCATGCAGGTAGATGTTATGACGTAGGCATCCCCTAAGAAATGATTTTGATAAATTCCACCCCTAAGGGGATAAATAACGCGAGCGAAGCCGCGGGCAAAAGCTAGTGTAAGATAACTATAAAGAATAATGTAATAATTAAGTACAGATACGGTAGTAAGGTAAGAAGCAAAAAGGAAACTTACTTTCACTTTTGTATTAGTTAAGATGTAAACAGAAATAAAAAAAAATCATTTTATGTAGTTAGGTAACAGAATCATGACTAAGCTGATAGTCCACCTAATGGAAAGTGGCAACTGTCATTCATGTTATCATAGTTTGATTCGATGAAAATTGTAAACCGTAAGAGATTGCTATAAGTGATGAGGCCACCTTTTGTTAGTATATTTTCTTATTAATAGTTTATTTATTGTGAATATTTTTATGTACAATAAACAGTATTATATTATACTTATTGTTTGATGGTGTCTTTCAGCCTTAAATATAAAATTAAATAGAAATTTAATCATCTAAAACTTACCTCATTGAAAATATCAGTAGCGTTCTCTACTGTATGTAGATCCAATGCTTCAATATCTTTCCCTTCATCAAAATGTCGTTCAATAGCGGCTATGGGAGCGCGTAGTGCGCTCAATTCCCTAAAACATAACAATTACATTTAAAATGACGTAATTTCATACGAATATTAAACAATATAAATATTCATAAAATAATACAATGCTGAATCATTGTACGCAGTCTTCTCAACGTTTATTGCGGGTAATTTTATAGCAGATAACAATTCAGAATCCCAGCAGAATCATAAATTACAACGATTCGAGTGTTTATGTTTTTGATGATGCTTATTAATAACTTGATTACATAATGTTGCTAAGGACTCGCGTTTGAAACGTTGAGAATTATAGTTTTGGGATTATTGGCTCTCACATCACAAGGTGCAAAATGTAGGTTTTATGGTTGCGAAATATAAAGCTTTCTTATAAAGAGGGGATCAGTAACCTCAAAGCACTATCAGGTATACCTCTGCAGTTGCACTTTAGAAACATCATTGTTTAATCAAATCAAAAAACAATATCCCTTTCTTGATGTACAATAGGTCTATTCTTATGATATGCTAAATCTACCGTCAGTTCGAAGTCGAAAGCTAAGTAGAACTGATACGATATTTAGCTCGTAATTTTTTTCAAATGAGCCCTGACATTTTTACAAAAATACAGATTCATTTTTAAATTCAATTAGGGTAATAGTGTCCATCACCTAATTACAATTATGTCAAAAGTAAAGTGTAATCAGTAGCCAAAGCAGAACAGACCAGTCACAAGCAACATCCATTCACAAGTACAACAGATGATCTAGCCATCATTGCACTCAATTAATTAACTTAATTCTGAAGTCTTGTTTATCCATCTTCTACTGTGGTAGCCTTTCAGTGTATACCATACTATAATAAATTTTCAGACTTTCAGTTCATCCTGCCATCCAGTATGGTAGCCACTCAGTATATACCATTCTATATGTATGTACCAATATATATTTAAAAAAATTACTTACATAGCAATCACAATCTCAGATATGATCTCGTGGAAATCCTTCTGATGTTCTCCATTGACCTTCGTGGTGCCTGCGATGGGGACAATCTTCATCACACGCGCCCGGCCATCTCCAGCTCGCCAAAGAAATACCTCCCCGTAAACACCCTCGCCGATCTTGCGGCAATTCTTTAGCACCCTATCAAATATTTATTAATATTATTATCAACTATTATGACCGGCACAACTTCATCTTAATTTTTCTGTAGAAGAGTAACATATATTGATCAATATTTTTATCTAAATACAACTTAAAATTTTCTTCCAAAGCGGCTAAACAATGTGTATTTGCATGTGTGGAATATACAGACTAATATCTCGTCAGAGACCTTAGTAAGCTTAGGCTGGAATTTTAGTTTAATTCTAAGTATTAATATTTTAAATTTATTATTTAGTTGTGAAGATATATGTATACACTCTGAATTTCACTTTTAACTTAAAATAGTACATAAATATTAAAAATAATGTAAGCAAAAATGTGCTTATCTCTGAAATATTTTGCTATAATTTTTACTTCTTAGAAGAGAATAGTATACTTTCAATATGAATATTGAAAGTGTGTATTGTAGTGAAAGAAATGTATTGAAAGTAATATCTGTAATGCTGCCCCACATACATATTGTTAATAAAGGTTAAGTAATAATAACATTGGCAGAGGTCATGGCAAGATAGGTAATGTAGATAACAATAAAGATATAAATGAGGGTAGGACATGTTTTTTTGATAATTTCCACAAAGAATACAACCTTATTGATTTTTTATTAAAATAGTTACATTTCATGAATATTATAGGTACATTTAGGTATGATATATCCTTCACTACCAAAACTTATGGAAATATCAGAAAAAATCATTTGTTGGGATAAATTTCTTAACAAGTTTTTATTAAATGTGGTTTTCTGTATGTAATTTGGCAGAATATAAAAGATAGCACTCAACTTTGTACAAAGCCTACCTCAATGACCAATATTTCATGTTTTCTTTATCTTCGAACTATATATTCCCTTGTTGCACAAGCCAGTTCTTCCAATACCCTCAGTTGAGGGAAAGGAATTTTTAGTAATGTGGACTAATGACCTATTGCTAGCAATGTACCATGTTGACCGGTTGACCTCCACACTTATTCTCCTTGGAAACCATTGTGATAAGTTCCTGGTGAATTTGTCACAATGGGCTAACTTGACTCATGCTCATTCTATCATCTTCCACTGGTGGCCCCGCCAGCGCGAACAGTTAACGCAGGCGATTGCACCATTCCATTATCATCCATAAATAAACATACTTGGATGAATAAAAGTGGTGACAAATATTATTTACTTGTATATTCTGTCACAAAGCAGTGATGTAACTAACAATATTAACAACAATACTTGACCTAAATAGGTGTATGGACATTGTTTTCTTTTTAATTTTCAACCATAACCAAAAATAAGACGATAAACTGTACTCACGGATCTGGATAGCATTCATCAAACAGTATAGCTTCTGTTTGATTGCAGCGTCGCAACACGTAGTCTCTGGGAGTAGTTACGCGGCTTGCAGTCTCATGGAAATGCTCTAATATAGTGACCTCGGGTTCCGACTCGGCGATCGATAGTTTTGATAACTCAATAACCGTATCATCACAGACCTCGGTCAGAAATCCTGCAAATAATCCGTTCATCAGATGTCTAGGCGTGACACATACGAGGAAGTGAATGACGAACTTTCGCTGCGCGTAATCGCGTTACGTAGTGGGAAATCACACGAGCCAATGCGAAATGACGACCAAATAAAACTATTCAATAACATACAAACCTGTGTATTGCAGGGAAAGATGCATGCACTTGGCTTTAGACACTGTTTGTTGAACAAAGGCGTAGAACCAAGCTATTATCCCGTTAGGGATAACAAATGGCAGTCAACACGATGTGCTTAATATAACACTAGTTTTACACTATTTTATAGTATAAATTACTATTATTTTATAATAATAATAATTAAAAAACACTTATTATATTTTAACACGTGATTGTTAAATAAAAATAAAATAAAAATTATGGACAAAGACACCACAAGCGTCTTCTTCCGCGAAATCGACGTAATGTCCAGTGTTGCCAGAATGCAGCTTCGATTCAGAATTGCCAACCTCAAAATCGGAACAGCAAATTGATAAAAAATTAACACTTTATGGTGAATAACATCAAAAATAAAACTTTAACATTTTTCGATTTTTAGGTTGTAGTGAAAAAACTAATCATAAATTTCTGTAAACATAAATCTTGCATGAATTACACAAGATTTCAATTTATGGTCAAAATTTGGTCTTCACAGCTCGGTAACAATTAGAAATAACACTGCACAGATAATAAATATTAAGGTATGTACGTCAATTTATACTAATAACAGTAAACTACAATTATTTTAGGGTTATACACAATAATTCACGATATGAACCCGCGCCTCGACTACGCTTGAACGCAGTATTTTCTTGTTTTTGAAATGATATATTTAATGACACAAAATTCCTAATTAACAAATTATATGCTCCTATAAGGTATAGCTTCTAGAATTTAATAATATATTTTGGTATATTATCTTTGACTATATTCTTTTTATGATTTTGTATCGATAATTTTTTTTTAATATTGTCGTTCAGCCGAACACATAGTATCTTAATGTTGCCAGTTATACCAATAAAAATGTTATATTCGAATTGATTACTTGCAAATGCCTTCAGTAAAAATGTTAATATTGTTGATTATTACGACGTTACGAATATAGACTTAATATTTGTACTTAAAATAATAAAATATATAGTACTTATTCACATACCTGTTAAGTCATTGATATCACTTGAACACAGACTAATTCGGGAACTATTGGCTTCCTAAAACAATGATTAATTATTGTACTTTCTTAAAACAATGTCTATAGCTGAACATTGTATTGTATGTTTGTTAAACAACAAATGTTGAATTAATATTACAAATATGAATGAAAATGTATGTTTGTTACCTCTTATATATGTTTTATACATTATCTTATAAGTGACTCTTATTTTTCATAATATATATTAACTCCAGTAAACACATACAAGCTATGAGGCATACAAAGGTGATGAGAGAGATGATTAATAGGATGATGGTAATATCTCGTTATTTTCTACACATATTTGTAATGTACCAGAAAAACAGCCCTTTTTACAGTGTCTCATATAAATCACAACCATAAGGTATTGTACTTTAAATATTAAATATAAAGAATAGTATCCTCTAATAATATTTTTAGAATAAAATTAAACCTACTTTACATTTTTCAATAACACAATTGTTTTGTTATATGCCATAATCCTTTATTAAGTAGTTAATTCTTAGTTAAGTATAAAAATAACAACCTAATTGTTCATACCTTTAAAATCCTAATAGTGCTTCTGTTTGGTTTTGATACAAATGTACTTCTCCGACTAATAATGGAATCACTGTGTAGTGAAGCTGTAATATTAAAACAGAATTTTAAATTTAATGCAATATAAAAAAAAATATATGAAATGTTAAATTCAAATTTTCACACCTGACATTACACTGAGACTTTAGATGGAAGTGACAGGTGTCTCTAAAAAGTTGTGTATAAAAACATTTCAGATAATAATAGAAACTCTTTGACAGAATATCTGTAGGTGTATACAAATTAATACAATATATTTATAAAATCAAATTTGAAGAGTTAATAAATGATAATAATGTTTTTATAGACAAATTCTAACTTATAATTTATAGCACTGTCAATATTATCTGATTGCACAAAGATGTGTAGTATTGTGTAGTGGTTTCTATGTTGATGATAACATGGCTAATCCTTGTTAAAGTTTGTATACTTAGAACAACATTTGAAAGAGCAACATGCAAGTTTATTGCTTGTTCTTCTTGTATTGAGTCTGCATTCCAAATGAGTGGTAAAATCAATAAATATAACTATTCAAAAGTTCTTATATTAAATTTATTTCAATAAAGATCATTCCTATTTCTATTTCACTATAGATTTTCGTGAAATATTGTAGTAACATATGAGTTCAATTTAGTAGACTAATCATTAAATTTTCTTAACTTTTGGTTTGTGGAAACAAAATATGTTTGCTAGTTTGCATTTCTCTTCACTTAGTATTAATATCAACTAAATGTGAGACTTCACTATTCTCACAAATATAATAAATGCCAACATGACATATGTAATCAAATTCCTTACAAAAACAAAGAAAATAATTTACCTGTAAAGTCTTGCATTTCCATGGTACTGATGACACTTTGTCTATACTTCCGTCCTTTGGTATGAAGAGGCTCATCATCTAACAGAGAATGATCAGATCCAGCCATTGTCATTCTTCTATAAATACTTAAAGACCTCTCCCATTTCTTTCCAGGTTGTAAGACTATAGATGGTTTGTTTTGTAAATTAAATAATTTAGCTTCTTGTGAGCAATTCAAAATACTATCTCTTATTTTTGCACTTTGTCTAGTTGTAACTGATGATATTGTTGGTTCATCATTCATGTGTTGATCAGATATATTTACAATAAGTTCATTATTATATAGAACTACAGCCTCATTTTCAGCTACTGTTAAATCATGTGCAATGCAGTCTAACTTTTCTTGGCCTGTAGCTATATTACTCAGGACAGTTTTATCACAATCAGTACCACTTGGACTGCCATATGAGTCATTCAATGAAAATATCATAGAATCATTTGTGATTTCATTGCGTCGTCTAGTTGTGACAAAGCTTATACATCGGTCCTCTTCTGTATTACTATTTGAATCTGTGTTATTGTCATCAGATAATTCTTCTATAACATTTGCAGTAATAATTTGACTAAAATTATTCTTATCACTATTTTGTGATATACTAGTATCAGCAGTTGAGGAATTATTATCTTCAAAACTAGCATATTCCTGATTGTTACTTTGACTGCTATCATCACTTTTCTCTAAACTTAGTTTATTAATTTCATAATTTGGCATTAATTCAAAATATTTTCGAAATACAGAATCATTCATTCTCTCTATAACAATCATTGGTTCTTGGATTACAGATCCATTACAATCTTCATCCTGAGATGCACCACTATCACATGTATCATACATAGATTCATTTTCTTGTGAACTTATTGTGGATTCTTCACTAGATATATTAGAAAGTTCTTTATCTCCAGGTAGATAATCGTTATTCGTTTCAGATATAAAATTATCAATAGTTTCAGATAAAATATTAATATTACTCTCAGCTTCATTAGGCATAACACTAGCATCCAAATTGTCAATACAAGAATTATTACTATAGCTCCCATTACTTTTGTCTATATGTCTATTATTAGAAAAGCCTAAAAATGGTTCTAGCTCAGTTATTTGAAAAGAGCTCAATTCAATGCTAGATGTATTTTTTTTATTATTATTATCAACTACTTCTTGTAAAGTATTACAAACATTGTGAGGTGTAATTTCATTTACTAATGAACAATTAGGTTCTATATCTTCATCAGGTGGAGCTTCCATTACGAACTGTTTATTTTCTAAACTTTTGTCACTAGCAACATGAGTAATAGGAGAAGATATATTGGTTAATGGAGAAATCTTTTTTATACTATTGACAGTCTTCATAAGAATTGGAGATTCCTCTAGATGAATATGTTGTATACTTGTTCTCAATTTACTCTGATTTTTCTCTTCAGAAAACAAGGTACAATTTTTACTTTTTTCTTTTATAGGTAACCAGTCTAAATTCTCATCAATATTTTTTGTACTAATGGGTGAAAATTTATAGATAGATGCACCTCTATATTTGTCTTTGAAAGGTGTACTACACAATGGAGAATTTTGAAATAAAGGTGACTTAATATTCATTGTTAACCTATTTTTAGTGTACATTAAATATTTTTGAACACCAATAGAATTTGTCCTGCGATAATTAGGACTTTTTAATATAGACATATTTTTTACTATATTATTTATAGATTCATCTAAATGTTTAGGACTAGATTTTCTACAATTTTCAATAAGTAGCTCATGCATTCCTATATCTGTTAAGTCTTGTGCCTTGCAGTCTTTGGTGGTGTTTTCTTTATCTGAATCTGCAAAGAATAAAAAAATTTTTTAAAAATTCTCCAAAGCATTATTACAGACACAATAACCATGATATATTGATGATGAAGAGATAATAGGCATGTAAATACTAGTATGTGAATCTCAGAGATTAGTCTTGTGATTATGAACACAGAATGAGTGTGAAATGGTATAGTACTTTTGCACAAGTGACAATTTATTGTTTTTGAAAGAAAGTTCACAAATAAGCAAGTAAAGATTAAAATACTGAGTAGTTAGAATTACTTTATTATTAAGGCAATAGATTCAAAATGTTGTACTTATGAAGTATTTGAGCTGAGCAAGGAAATCTATGCACGATAATCAATATATTTCAGATATGTTAATATAATAAGATGAAATGGCTAAATTAAAATTATTATATTGTAATATTTATAAATATATATATTGTACATGATTGCATAAATAAATAAAACGAAAATTACCTGTACTATCACCGCTGGAATAATTGTATTTCTTAACTTTTGTAGTTTTCTTTCTACCATATTTTTTTCCTTCACTAAAATAAGATAGAGATTACCAAAAGCAACACAAATTAATCTTTTATATCAGCTATTATAATTATATAATAAGAGATATAAAAGATTAATTTGATTCTATACCGATATTAATATTAAATTTAATACAAATCAATAGTTCTAATAGTTTTAAATTTGTTTCTTTGACTGCTTCAGTATTCTCTGTAAAATGTTATGAACAGAGACTTATGAAGATCAAAACTACAGAGAAACTCTATGAAATTAATTGTTAGTTTGTAATTTATGGTTTCTCTAATTTATTTTCTAGTAATTAATAAATAAGAAACAAATAACAGTCATATAAACTTACTTTCGAAGTTTATCAAACAAATTATCTCTATTGACATGAAGAGAGTCGTTCTTTCTCGAAGGGGTGTTTAACAGTAGATCAAAAGGATCAGGTGCTTTATTTACATATAAAGATTTATCGGGCGTAAGACATGCCGCTTCACTGAGAGTCTCTTGTCGCGATGGTTCTAACTCTTTATGTATTCGTTTTACATATTTTTTCTTGCGGACTCTATTTGCCGCAACTCCGTGATAGTTGGCCGTACTCACCGACGACATTTCTCGCACACTTTGCTTAATATTTTGAATATAAAACGCGTCGAAAGCCGAACTTTTCTCGTCCATTGCAAACATCATATCTCTGTGATCTAATGCACCACCAACTTCCTTTTTTGACTTGTATGTACGCCGCATTATGTTAATTATATTTTTATTCGCAGAATTGAAAATACAATTAAAAATTAATAGATCACTGTCGTAAACAAAACATCACCAACATAAATAAATATTTTAATAGATTGTATTTTTTGTTAGATTGGTTGGTAGACCGAATGAAATGTATGAAGTTTAAAATTAACAGACGTCAACGTCAAAGCTTATTGCTATAAAAAAAAAAATTATGTTCCTGCCAGAATAAAATATAGGATCAAATAACTACGAGGTTTCTATTATTATCCTTTTATGTATATTATAATTTGTATATCAATAATAAATGTTATGACTATGATTATGTTATCAATATAATTTTGTTAAGCGAATAGTTAGACTTTGTAAAAAGCTGGTTGAATGGATTTCTCAATATCAACTACTTCAATCGCCGATCCAGATAAGACTTTGAAATTACAGAATACCACACGGGGTTAAAAAAACTACTACGGAGTAGTAAGCGTAGATCGTACAGTTGCAAAATATCTCCATTCCCTTCTACAGGATAGTATTTTTTTTTGTATTGATGATAATGGAACGATGCTCTACGCGCTTTCGTAACAATGAGTGTAAAATCAGGTAAGTTAGCCTATTGTGGCTAATACATTAGGAATTAACAGCGACAGGTCGATCCAACATGGAATAACAATTAGGTACTTTCTTTCATCAATGTGCCGATTAAACAATATGGAAATAGGAGGGAAGGGGGTTGTTAGTGATGACCCTATTGCTCTCAATGAACCATGTCAGTTCGTCCTCTACGCTGTTCCCCTGGAAACCATCTTGATAAATTTGCCACGATGGACTGACTGACCTGACCTCATGCGCATTTTATCATCCTCCACTGTTGCCCCGCCAGCGAAAGCAGATGCACCATTCCATTAGGAATTAAAAGGAAATAGGCTATACAAAATAAAAGATATTAAATTTCAAATGCCTTATTTCAATTTTAAAAATATACATAGTTCCTGTAATATTAAGTTGATACAGCCAACTACATTATCACTAAACATACACATGTAATGACCACAAAGAATGATCGACAGTTTAAAAGTCAAAGATTTATGTCTTTGGCAGAATATTTTTCGTATGCTAAATAAGTGATGGCATAAAAATATACATACATATAGGTAGGTATACAATTAAACCTCGATAATTCAAACTGATTACACAATTAATATTTTTTTTAAAGTATACATTACAATATTGTAATTACTCAAGCTCGAGCACTATCGTCAAATCACCTCTGTCAAAAGCGTTAGGTTGGCGGGAAGAGATCTCTTTCATAGATAAGTCCACCCTTGCTCGCATTTTTGTATAACCATCTTTATTTTTTACAAGTACAATAAAGTATATATTATTTCGAATAGAGTCGAACAATTAAATGGTGAAACAGACTTGACTACCTCTATATTAACAAAACGGTGTAAACATAAGCATAGTCATACCACAGACAAAATATATAGCTCCTGGCCAGGGGGAGTGGACTTTTAGACCGGCACACATCAAAAGTTAATGTAAATGTATAATATTGTAAGGGATATTTATTTAAAAATAAACATGGTTTATTGAGAAATTTTGACAATTAAGAATTCTTTGAAAATTAAAACAATATATAATTTAATAACAATTAAGATAAAATTATATAAAAATACTTTTAAAATACGTAGATTGTAAATTTTCATGCTAGATAAAACTGGCAAAACTGTGTAATATTGTATTATAACAGACCACGTTTTCACCAAATAAATGTAAACAAATAAAGTACCCAGATTGTAGTACAGTCACGGACAAAAAAAATTCAAAGGGTAATATGTACCCTAAATATTTTCATACTTTGTCAAAGTAACATTATTAATAATTTTAATTATTCAATCATTTTACACAATATCTATAAGTAAATTGTTATTAGAACTATCTGACACATTATTAGATTTAGGATCCGTTGGATGGTATGGTTGTTACGCCTTGCTCGCTTTGTAATTGCGCCCATAGGCACGAGTCATGTACGGTAGATTCTAATATGTGAGCAGTTTAAGCAACAAACATGTTACATTTCATTAGCACTCAAGTTACAGCTCAAAATTGTTATTAAAAACATTCAATTTTAAATTATCGAGGTTTCACTATTAGGGCCTGCACAGACGACAGATCGTTCCGATTTTCGCTCAGTGTTCTTCGTCATAAAAATATACTGAAGACTCGTTCATAGGTCTTTGAATTTATAGCATAGTTTATCTTACTTAAACGTTACAGAATTACGGAATCTCTAAAAATATTTTTTCTATTATTTTTGCTTAGTTTTAGTGTAAATAAAATTTTATTTTTTACAGACTAATATATGTATATTACTTAATGAAAATGTTAAGTGCTAATGAGAGAAGATGATCTATACGTATAGAGGGTTTAACAGATGGCCCATACGTTTGAAAAATAACAAATTAATTAAAAAATATTAAAAAATAGATCACTTATTCTAATTAGTTTTCAAATGGAATAGCGTTAATTCGAAAACAATACGACAGATATAGATACCTTTTTGTAACTAGTCACCGTTATGTAATGCTATTCTTTTACGAACAAGAAAGTGCCTTTCGGATTTTTTTATTGGAATTGGAAATTAAAACAAGCTGACGGCCCACCTGATGGTAAGTTGTAATCATCAACTGTGGACAAGGACAGCACTATGGACATCATGTTATCATGGGACCATTCCAGAGTATTAAGATATCACATCATATTTCACGTTCGGATCGGATCGCCGGTCGTCTGCGCAGGCCTTAATCATCATTTAAGTAATCTAGTATAATAATATTATTTTTATTTATTTTACACGATATTGTCATAACTATTAAAGAGGCTACACACGACATTAATAGTATATTACGATATAAGTGCGTTATGATGGTTATAACACACGAGAAATTTCAGCTCGAACCGAAGGCAAGGGCGTAATAGACCCGAGTGTGTTAAACATGCACGTATATCGTATGAGGTTTTTCAACACACTTGCTTTTAAATATACTCAACCATAAAACTTTCCCGCCCGTTTTACTTTTTTAAATCATCGCGCTATCTACAGCTGCCGCGCGGCGGTCTGTTCGAAATTTGAAAAAAAAATTAGCAAATAATGTGGTTACGGAATATAACCACATAATAACTTCACCATTTGCGTTTATAGCGGACGCGTGTATTACGAGCTGCTTTGTATGAAATTAAATCCACTTTACGGGCAAATGTGTTGAAAAATCAGCCACAATATCGGAGCAAAGGTTGTTAGATCGTCTCATGTGTAGCAAAATCTCTTCTCATCAGCCAATTTAACCCCACCACCATTGCTCCAATACTGTTATTAGAGTCGTGAGTTTTAGACCGTACTGTACTAATAAAACGAGACATTTTTCCTTGCAGCTCCAATATTAATTGCTATTCGTGAGTAATCAATAAAACTTGCTGTAAGTACATATATACTAGTCTGTGTATAACATTAATATAAATACGAGAATTATTATCAAAATTATACATATAATACTGTGATGTGATGTTTGAAGAGATAGTTATCAGAAGCTTAGCTTTTACTAATAGTTACAGGGGGGGGGGGGGTTCATAGTTGTATGGACTATTAACCTGTTAACGGAACGGGACGTAAACACTTGCGTATTCCCTCCGATCGATCCCCCGTCCAAATCAAACGGGGATCGATATTACGACGTTCGAACCCCTAGCGGTGTCCTCAGATTAAAGGGGGAGTGGGCCTTCAGCCGCTCCATAAGTCCTTCCTTTGGTTTGGAGTGCCATCTGCACTCGCCCCCTGTCGTCAGGTGAATCTGTACAGGCCAGCTGCGACCAACAGCATTAGAGTAGTCCAAAAAAAAAACACTTGCGTGTACGTGTTATATATATATATATATATATATATATATATATATATATATATATATATATATGACATATATTCATATCCTACACGTACACAGGATCGATCGGAGGGGGCTATGTTGATGTGACTGTGTATATGTATATGTACGTGTGTACATGCATACATGCTGCCAATTTAATTACTCCATGTAATGCATGTTAATGTTAATAATAATTTCTAAATAAATGTGTATTATTATTAAATATCATTTAGATCGGTTTTGCCGTTTAATCGTAAAAATGTAACAGATTAACACACTTTCGTATTTATAATACCAATATGGACTTTAAAATTATATATATTAAGGTTGTTATTCCTTCGTCAGTTATATAATTAAGAAAAGAGTACATTATATATACTGTTAGTGCATTTAGTCCTTGTAACCTAATCTATGCTGATATTGTAATAAATAAATACTTATTTATACTAGTCTGTAATGATGTGATCTCACAAAAATAATTATGCTTGTTGCTTCTAATAGGACAATAAAATGCACTTAAAAATTCGTTAATCGAAATACAGGATGTGTATAACAGAATAACATAAATAAAGTAGATGTCTGTATTTATTTTATTCTTAATTCATGCGGTCGGTTTTGAAGTCTTATTTTGTACACTCCTTAAGTTATCATTTCAACTGTCTTTACATGTTCAGTAGTTACAGTTTTGATGTTTTTGGTTACAAGTGTAAGAATGTGACTTCAGAATCGACCTCATGTTGTAATTGTGATGTATTCGTCCTTACAAACTATGTAAATCGGTACAATATACAGCTACCTAATTGAAGTAGTGAATAAAACACGTAGCTGTTATCACAGTATTACTATATACAAGTATATAATTAAATAAACTGTATATTTACTCGAGTTTTTCTAACGGTACGCAGACAATAAATAAATAATTTGCTTATAAAAAAATCACCTGTATATGAGACAGAAATAGAATATTATATAAATTGCACTTCTAAATAAAGACGATGATCCACTAAGATAATATTTTTAGAGCATACTTCTTAACATTACTTGAAGAGTACTGTAATATTTTTTATACTAAATGCTTGTGAGTGTGATGGCGTTTTTTTTACAGACAATAAACTTATTCAAGTGCCATTAAAACCTAACATAATACATGAGTAATTTTTTTATTAATTTACACGTTTTATTTTGATGATATAAACTTAACAAATATTTAGTAACAATAAAAATTACAATTTATGGATTTTACAAAATAAACATTTATTTATTTGTCTATGACACGTGAGAGATGTTTAGTTACTTTCGGTTCAATGTAACTTTGTGTACAGTAACCAAAACCAAAAAACATATAAATGTAACTCATTTAAATTGAAGTACTTAAAAATAAACAACAAAATAAGTATAATAATTTCATTCTCTTGACTTTGAATCATAAAAAAATATATTTTATTAAAAAATATTTGAGATAGAGTATCCATCAATAATTGTTATATATAAAATTATATACAAGATATATCGCAAGGTTAATAATACTATGCATGAACTAAAATCCTTTGGAAAATGGACTTAACAATTCAAAAATATAAAGTTGATTTTCCAAAAACATTTATTTTATTTAACGTAAATTTTTAAGCGTGCGATATACAGGATACATAAGTAGGTAAATGTATAAATATAAAAGAGGTTCAAAATCAAGAGAAAGATATATGTATACAGTATAATACAAAAAGCTAAGGCCCCACAGAAACAATTTTAGGCGGGCCGTGCGTGTGGTGGAATGATATTATTCAATTTGAACCTTATTATTTTTAAAACTTAAGTTAATTTTTCACTAACATTTTTGGGAGTTGCGCTCTGACGAATTTGTGATACTCAAGCTGAAGACATCTAGGTGAACTTCGAAATTGTAGCGAAGACCATACATATAGACATAGTTAATTTAACAAAATCAAAAATCGCGATCAGAAAATATGTTGAGTGTACGTGAAGATACTGTTAGTATAGTTTGCCGAGATAAATATCGAGCTAGTTACAATAGTAGCAACAAACGAAGGCGTGTGAAAGTAGATGAATATGTCTAAACATAACACATTTTATTTACATCTAACCTTGAATATAGCGGTTGAAATACTGCAGAAATATCGGGAACTAAATGAAAAATAGAGGACAGGAAGTAAGTTGCACCATGACGAAATCCATTATGATTGTAGACTCGACCGATCGCAGTATCTTTACAGCTTCTCACTCTCTTCTCTCTCACAGATGGCACTCCAAATCCGCGGAAGGACTTGTAGCGACTGAAGGCCAATTCCTACCAGACGGACACGCATTTAATCTTAGACCACTGCTAGGAGTTTGAACCTCGGCTCAGGCCGTCGTAATGTCGATCCCCGTTTGACCTGGACAGGGAATTGATCGGTGGGGCTGATTGCAGTGTCTGTTATATTGTGGGTCGGTGTTTATCAGTCGACCCGTCCTAAAGCCACGCCATGGGACTTTAGCATAAAAGGAATGAACATAAAACATTATGTTTAACATTATATAGCTTATTCACAGTTTGACATATGTATGAAATAAGTACAATAACAAATTTAGTTAATTTAAAAAATATACAATTTGTTGGGATAATATTATAATATGAATTTCAAAGTGGACCCTGAACCTAAAATTTATTACACAGCAAATGAAATGCATAAATAAATTAATGAAAAAGTTGATCCTTTTTGAGTAACTTAAATATGCTTCATATCGTATTTGTTATTGTAATAAGTGTTGAAATACCGACTTTAAATGAATCAAGTGAAAACTCCATTTTGATATTTGATAATTAAAATAATATATGTGATTTCACAGTATACGTCTGATATTAAGAACATAAATGGCTATTATCAAATTTAAGTGTTTTTTTAATCTACGTATAGTTTAATTCAGTAGATGAAATTTCTTTTTTTAATCTATGAAAATTGAATATGTCATTAATTAGTTTGTTTGTTCAGATCAAAACAACAAACTATTGTATTTGGTATTTAAACAATCTGGAGTCAGTTATAGAAAAACATGGAGATTACAGTAGTATTTGTATAACCTTGACCTCCATGACACTACGTAAGTACTTAATGAGTTCTTAAACTTTAACACCCAGAAAATATCAATTTATTCCTTATAGTAACACTAATTATTGTAAAATTTTAAGAATGTATGTTTATCAATGTCAGTGCAAGTGAAAATTAGTGCACATTTATTTAAACACATAGATTTATATAAATATGCTACACATACAATGATCTGTGGCTACATCTTTACAGTAACAGCTGTTCGGATTTTTGCATTTGTTTCAAATAATGTATACTCAAGAATGAGTGCTGCTTGTGGAGCCTGGACGTTATAAGCTGATTGAATTACCTTTATTTAATGAAAATTAATATAATTATTTATTTAACCTAATGTATGACATTTGAAATGAACGACAGCACAGTTTCTTGTCAGTTATTGTCTCGAACTTTCAGAACGGACGGAAGATTTGACTTATCATAAGTGTATGCAATTGGACCAACGTGAATAAACATATTTTTTTTATTTGTCAATATTTATTAAAACTCAACTTTCAAGAAACTATTCTTTGATTTCTATTTAAAAAAAAAAAAAACTATAATTCCAATGTATATGAGTAATTGCACGACATGTATATAAGTAATTGTTTGCATATATTAATTTTAAGTTTTATAGGCGTATGCGAGCGCGACGTCTAAAACAATTTTCCTGTGAAAATCTACGTAACAATCTGTAATGGTTCTTAATAACTCCTTTATTAAGGACCATTGCAGGTTGTTACAGAAATTTCTGTTCAATCAATTCAATTGTAATTGAATCCTCATAGAGGAGGTGCCAACTCTTTAGAACGCGTATTTTTTTTTTTCGGCGTACTCTAATGCTGTTGGCCGCAGCTGGATTTTACAACTTCACCGGACGATAAGGGGTGAGTGCAGATAGCACTCCAAACCCGCGGAAGGATTTATGGAGCGGTTGAAGACCAACTCCCGCCTGACGGATACGTAGGTCAATTACATTGAACATTGAAAAGTTATTAAAAAAAAGATTTCAGATTTTGCATTGTAAACTTGAATACCCTAATAGGGGTGAATACTATACAAAAAAAACCTCGAACATTAAACTAAAAGTGAGAACTAAAGATTAATGATTTGTCATAGGAACAGGTAGACCCGATGAAATATTAGTTGTTCCGATTTGTCGATTTGTTACGGAGCTCTAAAAAGTTTGAAATAAACATCCACTTTTAGAATTATCACCTCTATGTACGTAAATAGAGAATGTGCATTAAGTTGACTTTTGACTTTGCTTTGTCATAAATTAACATATTAGAATGCATAAATTAAATTATCATCTAGCAATAGTATGTTAGCATTTTAGAAATCGTTTTACCATTAGTAATCATTTTCGATGTTTTCACTATTCAGTTATCAGTACATTGACGTTGCAATTATTTTGTAACTTGCTGTGCTCGCAGTTTCACTTGTATAAAATTTATAGCCTATGTTATTCTGATGTTTATGTTATATCACTGTACAGTTTAATAAAAATCCGTTTAGTAGTTTTTCTGAAATCTGAAAGTGTGACAAACATCCATCCATCTAACCATCAATACTCAGATAACGATCGCATTTATAATTATCTTGACTAAATATATAACGAGAATCTTGCAATGCAAACCTTCCATAAAATAATAATTAAATGACCGTGAAACTCGTAACAAAAATTTGCGTTGTTTTGAAGAAACGGCAGTAATGGACAAGCATTTTTATGTGAATAGAGAAATATGTTAATAGATTAATGTCGATATGTAGATGTTAATTTGCAATTATAGAACATTGGTATGATATTTACCTAATTCCCCATCTGTTGTGCAAAAATCTTACACAGTTGTGAGACTATTAGTGTAGCCCCAGATTTGTGCTTGCTTCAAGTTCTTATAATATCACATAAATTTGAATAAATTCGACTGTACATATACCTCAATGGGCCAACCATAAGTAACGTCACACTTATTTCGTGACTGTTTGATCCCTTCCAACATCCTTGTCACGATTGGTCACATTTATGAAACTCCCATTTCCCAATTTTATGTCACTTATTTCGAAATTAGAACTACATATTTTTACTAACAGTTCAAATTTTGTGTTTTAATACTTATCGATATTGAAATGTGACGCACGTAATTTAGGACCCCTTCAACCCCATTATTACACTATGTCACACTTTGTCAACCCGTTCCCTCTTAAAGTGTGATGTTATTTATGGCCCCTAACTACTAATTAATATTTAAGAGAACACATCTATGGGGCGCGGCGACATTGTGAGTGCAGCGTGAGTGGGACTTGCCAGAGGATCACTTAATAGAGATTCATTCCTCTTTGCCTCGCTTGTAGCTTGCTTTACAGCGTCTTTGTATGGACCCCTCTTTTTTTTATTAAAGCGTATCTGAAACCAATTAACACTGTTATAATTGAAAATTAAAAATAGAACTTAAAAATTACAGATTCCACTTTTTTTTTCTTGTTGTAAAAGACTACCTCAATATTACTAGGTCAGTCTTGAATTTTGGGTGGCTTTTTTAAAGAAAACATTAAGATTCTTATATTCCGTCAAGTGAATTTATTAAAATTAATAAAATTGATATTGAGATACTGTACTCCAAACAATCATACTCATGAATACAAATGATTGCAATATGCGAGGAATCATATCCACAACCATCAGAAGTAAGGTGGTGTGTTAAACCGCTAAACCACAGAGACTGTCAAGATTGTGTTATGGATACTAGAAAATTCTTAGAAATACTTAAAACATACATAAAATGGAATAATCTATAGTTTGAAATAGAAGGATGAATGTAAAGTTAACATACCTTATAGTCTTCTAAAAATGGACTCAAACTATCACATGGCATCAGTGAAGATGTAGTTGATGCATACCATGCCACATGGGCCTTGGATGTTGTAGTAACACTAAGAACTCGGCCCGGCCACCATGGGAAACCAACTACCTTCCCCCAAACTATATCCCCAGGGGACACCCGCAACATCCTCCCACCGACACCTTCCATACTATTCTTTGGGAAATCTGGCACCACTTCACTTTCCCAATCCTCAGATCCACTCTCCAATACCTCCTGCTCACTTTGCTTCTCATAAGAGTCTCTACTCAACCTCCTCAGACTAATAGACAGTTTCTGATTGAGGCAATTGTCTTTTATATCACTAAAATAATCAATAGAATCCATGTCTGCACATTTACTTGTATTTTCGTCTCTTTTCTTTTGTGACTTGCACTTCTTTTTATGTTTCACTTTATGCTTATGTTTCTTTTCTAACGGATCAACTGTTGGATGATTTGAAACATTGTTACGTGGTGACAGTGCCCCAATATGCTTTGGTGACTGTTCCGTCCACACCTCTACATCACTGCTGCCTACGGTGTTATTTTTTTTTGCTTGTTTCTTTGCCTTCTTTAGTGCTTTCTTTGCGGCCTTCAAATCAGGTTTGGGTGGTTTAGATATATCACAAGAAACACCAGAATCCTCATTGTAATCACCTGACAAGGGTGGGATCTTCACAACTGTGCCCTCACCTTCACCGAAACATATTTTAAGAGTCCGTGCACTTGAAAACATTGAACTAAATGAAATATCATTGTCACTTTCATCTCTCTGATCAGCTCTATCACATAAATCCCCTTCGGATACACTAACAAAGGCAAGTTCACGTGTTGCCCGAACATTCTCACTAGTTTTTTCACTTTTTGCCTTACTTATTGATTTATCACTAGCCTTATTGGAATTTTTTGGGGTACTTTTAATTGCGCTCGTTATTTCACTCGGCTGTAGCCTGGACAGTTTGGGTATAAGCATGCTGCCCATCAGGTATTTCTTCTCTACTTTAGATGACTCAGAATCGTGGGCGGCGTCGTCATCCGAATCTAGTTTCCGCTTTTTAGACACGTCCACATTTTCACTATTTTCATTACAGATCCCTTTGCAGTTGGAACATAAAACCTTGCGGGGTCGCAGACGCACCGTCATCTTTTGTTTCTGTTGCGTTTTACCCTTGGGACCAGGTTTTTTTGGCTTCTGAATATTGTCACTAGCGTATTGAGGTTCTTGATATGTGAACCTTTGACTGGCGGAATGTAGCTTATCATCTTGATTACCGGTGGATACGCCTTCTTTAGTAAATGCTGGATGCAGACTATAAACTCCAAACGGTAAATTACTGGAAAAATATTAAAATAGGCCTCAAAATTAGGAAGCTCTCTTTAGTAATCGATATTGTGACACCACTAAAGATTTAATATACCTACCCTTTATTAGAGTCTAATAGTACACCTTGAAACTTTTTGTCTTCACTGCAATATGAAACAACAATCAGATCAGCTAATGCTTCTTCCACATTTACTAAAATCTGGGAATTCTTCCGAATCGTCATATCGGCTGTTGCAACGACAGCCGCCATATTTTTAACCATAAACCCATAGACACGATATTTGCTCTTTTAATATCAATTCCGCAGCAAAGTAATATTTTGTAAACAGCCATATTAGTCAAAGATAGACAATTGTATTTTTTTCAAAAGGTAATTTAACAAGTTTACATATCATATTTAGACCTCATAAACTTGAGAGCGTTAAGAGCATGGCTCTTAAATTATAGATGAATGAATCTTAGAAATAAAGAGTAGTTAGGTAAATTAATGAAATAATAATCAAAGCGAGATTGTTTATCCTTTTCCATACACTTTAAATGACTTTTGCTCATTTACATGTAAGATATTTTATATTTATTTATACATCATTTACGTATCTTCATTAGAACGCGTGACTGTTTATTACCAAAATGTACGTACGTAATTCTATTGCAACAAAATATAAATCTAAATCTTTAAAGTATACATCGCTGAATAACGCTTGGCTAATCAAAAACAAGACAAAAAATTCTTAGGATTTGATTAGACAGTTTATAAAATGACAACTAACTTGACAATAGACAATTTGAATTGAAATTTTGACATGTGATAAGATAAAAAACTCACTTGGTGATTTTGATTTTAATCCCAGTTGTTTTTTGCGTTTGTCTTGTAGGTATCAATTCATTTTATCGAGTGTTTATACGCATACAATTCTCGGAATTGTATAGAAGATATTTTAGTGAACACTTAAGTTATTGTAAGTTTTAATATCACTTTTAGCTAAGGTTACAGCTGTTACAATTATTTATCTTACATAATCTGATCATCAATTTATGTTTACAATAGAATTAAATATTATTATATTATTGAATTATTTAATTTGTTATTATGATTAATGTTTATTTTATAATTATGTGTTAATTAAAAAATGGTACATCAGTAGTTTATACTTACTATAAATATATTTTAGTACAGTTATAATAAACATTTTTTTTCTACTAGAGCAATCAATCAAGTTATTGCTCTCTGATGATATTTTGTCACCGAATCCGATGAATGTATGCACAGCAATCAATCATAGTATAAACTTAATGATTATCAAAATTAAAAATTCCATGATAATAGTTTATTAATAAAACAATTTTATTATAATGGTATAGTTATATAAATAATTCCCTTATATTTCTACTATCTACTATATTATCTATGTAAATATTCCTATTAAAAACTCTCACATATCTTTGTTAATACCTTAAAAATATACACTATATGTATATAATAAAATGACCTAACATACATAAACATACCAATGAATTTATTTGTTGGGCAATTCAAATGATATGAATATTCTTCTCCAATAGAAAATGTGTAAAGATTTGTTGATTACTTACTAAACTTTGTGCATTCCACTGGACTATTACTATATGGTCCATAAAGAAATAAAAAATTAAATAAAGAAAGATTAATCTGGGTTTTTTTTATTCTGTAATGTCTCTAGGAGAACTTGTTTTATATTTTCTGTACATATTGTTTTGTCATTGGTTCTATTCAATGTTATAATTTTAACAATTGATTCTAATAGGGTATTTAAAATTTGGTCAGAATTAAGTAGGGATATAAACCGAAGGTGAAGTTTTGTACTGCCTAATTGAGGAAATGATTTCTCTCTAACTACTTTATTTTTAGTCTTAATATCTTCATAAAATTAATTCTAGCAGTCAATATCTTCATAAAATAAATACTTTTTTTATTCTTTTTAAAATTGGAATAGTTATAATTGAGGAATCCTATCAACTTAACCCTTCTTGTATTGGTTATAGATTATATGTTTATTTTTTTAGATAATGTCAGATCAAAGAATAGACATTACAAAGCCTCTATGGGATCAAAGCACATTCTATGGGAGATTCAAGCATTTTGCATTCATCTCCAATCCATTGTTGTCATTGGTGTCTGAAAAAGAGTTACATGAAGCAAAAGAGTTGTACTTCCAGTACAAGTAAGTTAATTATAGAATACTTATTACAGATCACTTGTAGATACTCTTGAACAGGTGCTGCTTGTTACTTTGATATATATATTTAATTTGTTACTCAAGTAACTATGAATTTATTTATGTCAACTTTGCTATTTGTAGTGTGTTTCACACAAATTTCTTAAAAATGTAATTTTGAAGAGAATAGCAACAGACAAGTTTCTTGCTCATTCTTCTTGTGATGACTCTGTATTCTGAATGAGTGGTAGAATAAAAAATATGACTATTTTAAAGTGTTTATATTGAGTTTATTTGGATAAAGATTATTTCTATTCTATTCTACCAATAGTATGTTTTAAATATAGATAAACAACCTATGTAAGGTTGCACTAAAAAGTTGGGATGAATAAAATACTGGATATGAAAAATTTCATGCATTTGTGGATTAATGATACAAATATGTCACTATTCCAGTTTAAAGCATAATTTTGTGTTTCTCAAAAAATATCTGGAAGGGGATGAAAGTTTAGCAAACAAAGTTGTGTTGGACAGCTAATTAAAAATGAACAACATTGGTTTGTATTACAAAAGTAAGTTTATTTCAGAGCAGGAAAAGAACCAAGAGACACACCTATAACAAAGGTTGTAAAGGCGAAACAACTGTATGAATCTGCATTCCACCCTGACAGTGGAGAGCTGCAGAATGTCTTTGGAAGGATGTCATTCCAGATGCCCGGTGGGTGCCTTGTTACGGGGGCAATGTTGCAGTGGTACAGGTAGTTTTTAATCTTTTCATTTAATTTTTAATGTATTAGGCAATATCTATTAGAAATATGACATTATAAAAACGGCTATACAGCAGTCCATTGTACAAGTTCTTGTGCAATCAAAAACTGTACCAGGTGACAAATTGCAAGGATCTATGTTGCTAGGACCACAAGCGAAAAAGTTACCATCATAAAAGCCACTTCCACTATGCCAAGGGTGTATGGTGTACTGTATATAAATTTTTATAATAATCATTTCACATCATTACCTCTTTTCATGACAACTGGCCGCTTACAGACAAAACAGACGCATTCCATAGTTCACCTATGAAATATTCTCACGTTATCCGTCACTCACCTTATACAGCTCAATTCCATATACACATTTTCTTGTTAATCTTATATTCTAATATTAATATATAATTAATATAATTAATTATATATTAATATTAGAATATAATTAATATATAATTATTTACATAACAATTATTACCAGTCATTCACTTATGACTGAAGAAGAATTAGAAATATAATCCATCACATTTAAAATTGGTACTGTTCCTTAATGACACATTGGAATATGATTAAAAAGATCATTGAAGATAAATAAATATATTTACTGCTGGATTATCCATTGAGTATCTCCATCTCATTCTGATATTATAAATGAGAAATGTGTTTGTCTCTTTCTTTCCATTTCACAACTACTCTGGGAAAAACAACTACTCTAAGTAGTATGAATTGACGGCCTCAGTGGTCTAGCGGTTTAGCACACCGCCTTCCGATGATCGCAGGTTCGGTGCCTCGCACGGCACAAGCATTTGTATTCTTGAGTATGATTGTTTATATAGGTCTGGTTGATTTCTATGTATAATATGTATTTACGAAAACAAATATTAAAAACCAAGGAACAATATTAGTTATGCACTATTGTATAATACATATCAGATAACAAGTTTATTATCTATGAAATAAATAAACACTTATAAAGTGACGCCATTGACAATTCTAATTAAACAGAAATAGTACAGGGTTGTTAACATATTATATATTAATTACATGTACATATGATTATACAATAGTAATTATTTATGTACTACTAGCTGTTCACGCGTCTTCGTCCGCGTGGGCATTTAACATTTATTTTTTTTTAAATAAAAGTAGCCTAAGTTACTCCTTATTACATTAGCTACCTGCTAATAAAAGTCCCGTCAAAATCGGTCCATCCATTTCAGAGATTAGCCGTAACAAAAAGACAGACAAAAATTGTAAAAAATGATATTTTGTACATATTTATATTCATATGCATGTAGTAAAAAACGGTTATTTCAATATTACAAACATACACTCCAATTTTATTTATATGTATAGATTATAAACACCAGTATGTCATGTATTCTGTAATTTTTGTACTAAAAAGTGTTTTACCTACCCTTTACTAGAGTAGAGTCTAATAGTACCTACACCTTGAAACTTTCTGTCTTCACTGCAGTACGAAATAATTATCAAATTACCCAAAGCTTCTTCTTTTATTAAAATCTGGGAATTATTCTAAATCGTCATTTCGGCTGTTGTATCGACAGCCGCCACATTTTTACCATAAATCCATAGACACGTTATTTTCTCTTCTAGTATCAATTCGGTAGCAAAATAATATTTCGTAAACAGCCATATTACAAAAATCCTGGTTTATATTATATTATATTGCATGTGTGTACTAATACATACACCAGGATGTATGTGACAGGGTACACCTGTAATTTCTGTAATAACATATAGGCTATCAATTTTATACGGGTGAAACCGCGGGCACAGCTAGTCGATTATATTTTCTAAGTGACACATAATATGTTTTTGGCGCGAAATTGAGTGATTCATTCATAATAAATTATTTTATGTTTGTTGCCAAAACTATGCTAAACACTTGTATGCACTTGTTCTTACATAATTGTTTGTTTATAAATAGGACGTTTGCCTTGAATATGAGCGGTTGTAATTACGAGTTTTCTGGCTGACCTTAGGTTTTCAAATTTAAATATGTTGCTAAGCTGAACATACGTAATATTGAACGGCACGTAACTTTATTAGAGGAATTATTGTGACTATATTTGCATAATAATAATAAACCAGTTTTTACCCAGTGGTCAAAATTCAACCATAATAAAAATTATAAAAAGATATTTATACCAGCAATAAAAATTGAACAAAAGAGTACGATCTTTTTATTGATTTAATGTATTTCTTATGCATAAAAAAATATATATTTTCATTCAATACTCCTTAGCTGTATAAACCATAAGTGTGCGAAATTTTATACTCCTGCTTGCGCGCAATTTTCGTAAAAAGGGGTACAGAGTTTTTGCTTTACATATTAGTAATGATTCGAGCCTGGTACATAGTAAAAAACGTTTACTTAAAAGACGGAATCACTTCAGTTAATGCAATTTCGTTCAATTTAAGATATTGTTTACTTGAATGCAAACATATATTCAAAGATACTTCAAAGAACTTCATGATTTGACAGATATTCAAGCATTGACTGAAGTAAATTTCGTATATATTTATTATATATATTATTTATAATATATTCTGTTTATTGTATGTATGTGTATATACCTATGTATCTTATATATACAATTCTCGTGTCATAATTTTAGTTACCATACTCCGAAACGGCGTGACCAATATTTATAAAATTTAATATGCATATTCAGTAGGGCTGAGGTCTGAGGCTACCATGTATTTTTCATAACCCTAAGTGATAATGGTTGTCCATCCCTAATATTTATTTTTTGAACAAATAAATATATTAAAAAACACATACACCAACTAACTATTTTTTATTAGCGATATTAAGTTATATGGCAAGACAACATTTGCCGGAACAACTAGTATATGTGTATATTATGACATGTTGTTTAACATTTATTTCTATTTGCACAACCAACAATATTTCTCTCCACCACCCATGGTTGTCTGGTAGATAATGCTACAAGGTTTTAGGTCCGCAATATCTACTTTTACCTTTATATTATATACATTAAAGTTTATAAACAAATAAGTATTCTTTTAAGCACTCTTTTTATCGTGTATACAAATGTATTTACTGTAAGTTATATACTTATAAATATATGTACAATATAAATCTATTTATGTACTTATCTTATGTGATATTAAGTCACAAAATACGTCAATTATTACTTAAAAAATAACCTTTGTCCAGTCATAAAGCCATAATATTTAACTTGGTTCCATATAATTAAATATTATCGATGGCTGACTAAAGTTCACAAAACCAGATAAGTTGTCGATATATTATTTATTTAGATACCAAGGTTGTGTATCTATAACTATTATTTAATAATTTAATCTATTTACATATGTACGGGTTCGCAACAAATACTTCATAATTACTTTACTTTTGATGGTGATGGCGGATTCAATTCCTAGCACGGTATAAATATAATACAAGTTTAATAACTTCCTATTACTAAAAACTTTATAAACGGCTAAAATGTCCTACATGAATAAATGATTTTTGATTTGCTACCTCTGGTCATACCAAAAATCGCAACACGCCAGTTTCTTGTTCGTTCTTCTTGTGATGAGTCTGCGTTTCGAATCAGTGGTAGAATAAAAAAAAATGACTATGTTTATTTGAATAAAGTTTTTTTTTTTTCTATTTCACAGAACAGCTACGGCAGTGGTATTCTGGCAATGGGTGAACCAGTCGTTCAACGCTCTCGTGAACTACACGAACCGCAACGCGAATTCGCCTCTTACAACGACGCAGATGGGCGTTGCTTATGTTTCAGCGACTTCAGCCGCTATGGCTACAGCGTTAACGTTCAAATTTGTGGTGCAGAAGCGTGCTACAAATCCCATTTTGGCTGTAAGTATTTTTTTTTATTAATTTAATATGTTTTACGGATCTGGATACAAGTCCTTTTGAGCCTATATTTGTATACATTTTTTGGGGTTATACCACTTGAGGAGTTGTGAATAAAAATACTAATACTGTGGTAGTAATTTAAATAACTACTTAAGAAATCTTTTAACTATATAATGCAGTCGCTAACACATTTTAAGGGCATGTAAATGTACACAAAACGACGTATTCAGTACACCGGAAGTTAGGTGGTAAAAACCGCTGGTCTAGCGGTTTCTACCACCTAACTTCCGGTGATCGCGGGTTCGATTCCTCGCACAATACAAATATTTGTATTATGAGTGATTATTTATATTGCTTTGAGTGTATATTACGTATGTATTTATTACCTATATTACAAGATCTGTTTAATTTGGTCTAGATGGCGCTATGTTAATTGTCACGGGTTATCATTATTACATCATATAAATAAAAAAGTGTAGTATTAACAATATAATTTATATACATGATGTTTAAAAATGGACTGTAAATATACACGTTTATCTCTGTCTATTTATCAACGGTATTAAATTAACTCATGCTGTAGCTATAGTTTGTTTACTCTCTTATAATCAATAACCTAAGGTTGTTTGTGAGATATTGCCGTAGTGATAAGACCGCCTTTTGTACCTCTACATTCAGATCTGTTTTTATCAATATAATGATTATTAGTGATTAGGTTTGTTTATATTTTTATGTTAGGTGCAATAAAAAGGTTAATACTAGTATTCACTATAAATACAACCAGCAAAACATTATTATTATAAAAAAAGTAATATGGAATTTATTAAATCGATATTTATTACTATATCGATGCGATAACAAATTAAAATCGATGTGTTTGTGATTTTCTATGATATTCTTTCTTATGGATGATAATGGAATGGTGCACCCGTCTGCGCTAACGGTTTACGCTGGCGGGGAACCAGAGGAGGATGATAAAATGAGAATACGGTCAGGTCAGTTAGTCCATCATGGTAAATTCACCATGAATTTATCACAATGGTTTCCAGAGGGAACCATGATCAACCTAGATAGTATTGGGGTAATAAGTCCATTAATAGCAAACCCCTTCATTCTTCTATGAATTATTTGAAAGATGTAGATGCAAGCTGTACGGTCCACAATTGCAATTATGATATGGTGCAATAACGATATACGCTGTTGACAGCAGTAGAGGATGATAGCATGAGAATGAAGTCATGTCACTTAGTGACATCGTAGTGAATTCGCTATTTTAATTAACGATGGTTAACCGCGTGTAGGTCGACCTTATATGATATATTACTAGTCAGTAGTTCCCCTAACATATTCCATCAAGTCAGGTCAGTCGCATCGTAGCGAATAAGCTAGGAATTAACCATAGTTAACCGCGTGGAGGTCAACCTGACATGCCGGGGGGAAATGGGATTGTTAGTAATGTGGACTAATGAACCCATTACTAGCAATGTACCATATCAGGTTGACCTCCACGCGGTTCCCCCTGGAAACCATCGTGTTAAATTCCTGGTGAATTTGTCACGATGGGCTAACTGACCTGACCTCATGCTCATATTATCACCCTCCACTGGTGCCCCGCCAGCGTAAACCGTTAGCGCAGGCGGATGCACCATTCCATTATCATATACAAAAAAAAAACCTGACATGCCAATAGTTTCCCTAATATACTCCATTTGCAGTTCATTTTTAAACACCATATACATATATTATATTTCAGAGATTTGTGCCGTTCGTAGCGGTCGCTGCTGCCAACTGGGTGAACATTCCGTTGATGAGACAGAATGAAATTCTATTAGGTACTTCTTATTACAATTTTATAAGTCTCGTCATATTCTTTAGTTCTGTTATTTATTCGTTGTCACCCTACACTTCTATATTAATATTCGCATCGGACAGATAGTGTCTTCTGTTTGTAATTTTAAGGCCCATTTCTACTACTTAATATTATTCATAATAGTTATAAGATCAACGTTTAAGGGTAGTATTACAACTCATTCGCTCAATCATTTACTTATTACAATTCATATTTTTTTAATATCCGGGGCTTTATCACAATAAAATAAATCGTTCACTCGTTAATCTCCACAGTTTTTTGAAAACTAGTAGTTTAATTTCTAACATGACACACTTGTAAAGATTTACATCACATATAGATATATTTTAATTATTTTTCTTGATGTTTTCTAAATTTTTATTTATATGCCCATTAATTCATATCCTGCTTGTAGATGAATTTTTAAATTAGAATATCTATTTATTCTTTATTTTTACATGAACGCTAACAACTATACTTGTACCGCCATCTATTGGTATTATTTTGAATTAAAATTTCTTACTACGTGGTGTTGGAACCGCCTTCCAAATTTTTATGCATAAAATACTGTGTATACAGTATTTTATGCATAAAAATACTGTGTATACAGTGTATACAGTACTACTGTGATACTGTGTATACAGTATTTTATTGTATTGTTTTTTTTATTGTTGTAATATTTATTGAAGTTATAAATACAACAAGAATGATTTTCTGAAACATCCGCGAAGACAAATACTATGGGCTCTCGTATGCGACGTCCCTGGGTATACGTATATATGTATATTAATACACGTGAAACAAAAACTTAATGAAATACGCTCGGACGGAGAAGTATGAAATTTCGCACGCTTATACTTTATATGTATGGAGAAGAACTGTAGAATGCTAATATTGTTTTTTAATTTTGCATAAACAATTCATTGAAAAAAGTAAAAAAAAACATTACAGACTACCATATATTTGACACACACACGCATATATATTCTTTTGTTTATTGTTTCTTATTGCTAATTCAAAAAGATCTTTTTGTACTTATTATCATGGTCGAATTTTGACCACTGAGCGACCACTAATACCTACTAATTATCATAATTAATATATATTTGTTTTTTCGATCTATTGTAATAGCGTAGCTTGTATACTGATAAATGCTACATAAACCGATATTGATGTACGTTTAAATTATATAATAACATATTTCAGGTCTGGATGTGACGGACGAGGATGGTAAAATAATAGGAAAATCGCAGCTAGCTCCTGCCAAGGGAATCTCGCAGGTCGTAACCTCCAGGTAATGTTAAACATGTTGTACAGGACTCATTACATTCGGGCCGCTGGCTGGCACGACAATTTGTATTTTTAAATATTTATATTTTATATGAATATTGTCATTGACACTATACTATATTATACATAGTTTGTTACAACATATATGTATTAACTGAATAAGTTTGAGGTTGATGGGAATAGAAATACTTTATTCAACAGTAAAATTTCCGTCTACTTCCTACCATATTTGATTCAAGAATACATGTTTTCTTTTTATAACTATGTGGCAACAGAATAATTATATACAGCCTAAACATTCATATTGCATGTTTAATTACCACCATCGTTGGCTGCACCGACCCCAGCCCACTACACACAGTCCCACATGTTTTTTCTTACATAGTCAGAATGTCTAACAAGCCGACGGTCCACCGGTAAGCGTGCTCTACATGAACAGCACTACGGACATCACGTTATCATGTGACATCGCTTCTGGACATTACTGTTAAGTTATAGTGATAAGTAGCCGAAAAATCTATATCGGTGGTATATTATTTATCTGTGGAATATTGATATCTTTGGTATATATCTATGAAATGTTGTTATCCATGATATCATACCCAATAAAAGCACGGTTTCGTCTTGCATCTTCTTGGAGAAAAATCCGACCGAGCAACAAGTCTACACAGTGTTTCAGTTATTGTAATCCCCAAAATACCAATAAAAGGCTCTTTGCCCATGGTATTTCCTTAATTACCATTATCTGTTTTCTGCAAATAAATAAATTTAGTTTCATTTCTTAACAAGCTATTCGTCTCTGGAACTTTCGTCCTTACCATTTCCCATTCGAACACAATCACATGTTATATTTCAAAATTCACTAAAATCTCATTATCTCTCCATATAATTGAATTATATCTAAATTTCCTTTTGTTCTCATCCCATATGCATAGTCTGTTTTTTTTTTAATCCCGTAGATAAATTTGACATATTCAAATTGCAGGATTGTGATGTGTGCGCCCGGCATGCTGCTGCTACCCGTGATCATGGAGAGAATCGAACACCGACCCTGGATGCAGCGCATCAAGTGGGCGCACGTGGGCATACAGACCGCTATTGTTGGCATGTTGTGAGTATACAACTACATAAATTACGGATGCCACAGCCAGAGGTTGAAAAAAAATGCAATTTATAACTATATATTTAACTAGCTGTACACGCGACTTCATCCGCATGGAATTTATCTTTATTTTTCTAAAATAAAAGTTACCTAAGGTATTCCTTAGTACATCAACTACCTACCAATAAAAGTCCCGTCAAAATCGGTCCAGCTATTTCAGACATTTGTCGGAACAGACAGACAGACAAAAATTGTAAAAAATGTTATTTTGGTGTAGATACCATATTTATATTCATATGATGGAGTAAAAAACGATATTATTTCCATATTACAAACAGACACTCCAATTTTATTTAAATGTATAGATTATAATATAAAATTGTTACATCACAAATTTCTACGTATCATTATCATTATATTTTTATACTAAAACAAAGTCGCTGTCGCTGTCTGTCCCTGTGTATGCTTAAATCTTTAAAACTACGTAATGTATTTAGAAACGGTTTTTTAATAGATACAGTTATTCTAGAGGAAGGTTTATATATATATAAGACACCCAGGTGAAGCCGGGGCGAGTAGCTAGTATTATTATATAATTAAATATACTTTTAATTCTTTCCCCAGCCTCACGTTCATGGTGCCCACTGCGTGTGCGCTGTTCCCACAGAGATGGTAAGACTAATTTTTAAAGTATATAGTTTAATTGTTTACTTTTGACTTTGTATGCTCTGTTTGAGACAAATATAGCCTTAGAACAGTGTTTCTCAACCTTTTTAGTGCCCTGCCCCATCCTAGCTTTTCCAAAATTCTTATGCAGGAAATTATTGGTTGCTCCACAGATGGGCCCAAATTCCCATCTGTGAGAAGTCCCGTAATTGATCTCACATATGGGGTGTTAATGTTATTTTGATAGCTAACAGTTGAAAGGTTAAACAGTAAATAAAGTAAATTAGTAGTAAATTTTCAAAATCTATAATAAAAACATAAAATTTCCATTCCATATAATTTTAATAAGAGTCCGTTTTCGAATAGCCCCACGTTACAATCAAATTGCCCCTCTGTGGAGCATGGGCCCCACGTTGGGAAACACTGCCTTAGACAGATATATGATTATCGTCATACCATTTTTATCTTATTCAATTTAATTAAACGCCGTTTAGTCGTTGACTCGTGAAATCCACATCGGTAAAAATATACTAATCTTTATGTAACTGACTGTGCATAAAATGTGTTTTTATTTTTTAGTAAACTGTCCATAGACACAATCAAGCGCTTCGAAAAGGACAAGTATGATGAAATTGTCAAGAATACTGGCGGGAAACCACCGAAATACGTTTACTTCAACAAGGGCTTGTAATTAAATACATGTTGTTAATGAAATACAAGTAGACGTGTAAGTAGGTAAAAAATGATGATTCTTTTTGCAATTGTTGGGTGTTTATTACGGTTTACTCGTATCATGGTACTAAAATATTTAGTCACAGCGACTATTTCTTATTCTTTGATTTGTGAGTAATTAAAAAAAAGATATCTATTAAAAAAAAATAATCAAATCCGTAATAAAATAATAAAACTACACGTTTAGCGTTAGATTGTTTTGAAATCGTTCAAGCAGAATTTTTAATATGTCAATTGCTTTTTATACATGAGGTACTAATAAATAGACACAAACGGAAAATTCTAGCATTTTAAATTATTATTAATGCTTCAGCAAAGCCTGTCATATATGCATAGATTATTAAAAATATATATGCTAGTTACACAATATAGAGTAGAGTAAATTCGGCAGCTAATCTGCAGATACCTACGACACACGAGAAAATGAATGTCAAATATTTTAAGTTTCTATATTCTGTGGTCAGTCACAGTTATTTAGCTCATTTAAAAATATAGAATATGCTTTAAGAATGAAAAATAATGTTGGTTTGAAAATTGGCGGGAAAAGCTATCGAAATAAAAAATAGATTATGTATCCATCGAAGACAATAGCTGTATGGGCCCTTTGCTTTTCCCTGAGACGAAAAATAATAATATATATATAGTAGGTATACACATCAAGTCGCGGCTACTTTGTTAATAAATATTTAATATTGAGTTATTTTCGATTGTTGATAATTTGTTACATAATTTTGCTGAAGAATTAAAGCTTTATGATTTTTTGGCACAGAGTAGTTTTGTTTGGATTTTTGGCAACTTTATGCGTGAATTAAACATTTGAACATTGTGTGTTATGGTTTTCATGTTTAATCTACTTACTTTTTTTATTGTTAATTTAAAATATTTTTGATTTGTTTGTTTTTGGAATGTTTTTATTACAATTAAGAACTGTGTGTGGTTGGTGGAGCTGTATAACAGTTCAATTTACGACCACCAGTAATCATACCTTACTGTCAATGTGCTGATTTACCTAGTATAGTTTGAAAAGATTTTTTTTTTTTATTATGAGATCTGGTCAGTTCATATCATATTTTTAATATATAGCCTGTTTACAAAACTGCAACATGTTATTGTAAAAAACCTGTTAATAGATATAGTATTCTATAATTGGTAATATTAATTGATTGTAAATATTATTATTTACAATAATATAATAATGATTATGCTTCATTTTGAATACATATACAAATTCCAATACCAGGGTTAAATGTATAATACAGTGTATGTGCACACATTTAGCCCTGGGTTTGGAAATATAAAATTTCTGCCATAAGAAATCCTTCCAACATTATGTTAGAAATACGTTCATAGACATACTATGATGCGACAAACAGGTTTATAATACACTATTGTTGCAAACAGGCGATTTTATTTATATTTTTTTGCTATTTTTTTTATTCATAATGGACATTCCAAGTGACGCCTTGAAAACGCTTTTTAATATTCCGTTTTATTTTATTATGTTTTATTTAATTATGATTTTGAATAAGTTTTTTAATCTAGTCTCTTATTTACTGTAGCGCTCAATTTATTTTTTGCGATGTAAACATTTTTAATAGTGTTGTAATTTGGCTAAAAGGAATTTTATACAGAGCCGTAAAATTACTTTAAAAAAAAGATTGTTCTAATTAAACAATTATAATTATTGCAGAACATTCTTAGAAATGACAATCTTGTTATTTTTTTTTTGCATATGTTTGATAATTTGATTATATTATATTACAATTCAATTTGTTTAGAAATTAGATTTTATTTAATTGGTTTATATTATAGAGTAATTAAAAGAGTGATTTGTAAATTTTAAATTAATTCTTATGCTGTACCGTTTATTTTGAAAGACTTAAACAAGGTTAATTTTAATAAGAAAAATATGTTCATATTTAAAGGGAAAAGTTAATTAGTAAAATCTACTTAAACCTTATTTATACAGTTAATGTAAACTGAAATGTAACATTTTCAGATCAGATATTAACATCAATTAAATTGACTTTATGTTAACTATTCGCTTATTCATAATGACGTCAAATATCTAAAAACCTTTTTTGTTATTGTCTGATTTCTCTTTGTCTTGTCTGCTGATTTTCTTATTTGAAAGAATGAGACGAAATATTGTAATAGTTTAAATGGGTTTTTAGGTTATAGTTTATTTGAATAAGCGTTCTAATTATCAGCTTTGATGAACGATTTTCATATTTATCTAATGTTTTCATGTATTATATAAATAACCTTTCCTCTTTTAGCGGCAAATAGTCACTCTATCTGCCGCTAAAAACTACAATAAAATCTGTTGCATAGTTTAAAAAATCTAAAGCGGAAGCTACTTCATTGTATACTATGTAGAAATTTATTTATTATAAATAATTGCAGTTTTATTATTCTTAAGTATATAACTGCTTATGTTAATGCCAGGTAACTTACGTGGTAGAGAGAAGTCTATATATGAAAATGTTAGAAGGAACGTATAAAAGGCAAAATTTTGAAAAATGTGGATTTGTTTTACATGTGAATTCTGAGTTTTGTGTTCAAAGGCAAAGTGCTCAAAAACTAGAAAACCGATACTTGATATTATTAATTAGGAATATATTCTCTGTTGGCGCTATTTGGAGCACCAAATTTCCTACAGTCCGGCCGCTCAGTTTACGTTTCTGACAAGTCAACTCGGTTTTTGATCATTACAAAAACAAACAGTTGACATAGCCTTGAAACAGCGCAGTTTGATGTGGTACTATTGTTTTTATATTTGTTATGTAGTTAATCGTTTTAAATAATTAATACGTTTATTGTAAGTTGGAATAATTATAAAATTTTTAATGTTGTCACTCGTTAATAAGAGAAATAAAAGATATTTAAAATTTTGCCGTAAATGTACGTCAGTACAAAGTTACATTGCCCATTCGATCCCGGCCTGTATGAAACGCAAACTCTGAGCGGTCGGACTTTAATACAAGAAATGTAATATATATTATATTAAATTTGATGCGGTCATAATTTATACATTAAATTAGGAAAAATCACGGGATCTTATCAAACAAACAAAAGATCAAAAAATGTATTAAGTATACGTGAAGATACTATGAGTGTAGTTTGCCGGGATACTGATGTATCGAGCTAGTTTCAATAGTAGCAAAAAAAAAAAGACGTGTGAAGGTAGACGAATATGTCTGCCCATAAATTATTTGATTTACCATCTACCCGCTGCTCTTCAGTATATCCGTGATTATGTCGGTTGAAGGACTGCCAAACTATCGGGAACTCAATAAAAATAAATAAAACGTTGTAAGATTCGTGATTTTTCTTAATTATACAAGAAACGTTACTTGTAAAAGACGTAGATTAGAGAATATGTTACAATTACTTAATTCAAATGAATAATGTTGTTATAAATATGTATTGTATAATAAAAATACAGTTTATTTCAGTTGATTTAACAATTATTACTAATATCGTAAAATAACTGTTATATACTGCTTTACTAATTCCATTATGTAAAAAAATGTTTTGTTTAATCATATACATTATTAATTCCATTTTTTTTTCTAATATTATTGTGTGCTCTATTTTTTCATTTTTTTCTCTATTGCTTATAAAATAACACTATTATATTATGCTAAATAATTGTATCTTATTGATATCTTATTGAGAATGTGTATGATGTTTTATTTTCAGCAATATCGTTGCAATGGAAAGAGCAATATAGTTGTACAAGATAATTAAATTTAGTCTAGTAAAGAAGTTAATGTTCGTGATTGTACTGTTTCATTAGATGCCTAGTGAATGAATGAACGATAATATAATTAAACGATATTTGAATTTCGAACGATATTTTAATTTTTTAAAATTAATTAATATTAATAATAATTTATTATTCGCTGCACATAGATTTCGTTTTTGACGGTCGCGGTAGTCTAGCTTTTTAGCGTACTGATTTCGATGGTCGCGGGTTCTATTACTATGTGGCTGAGTGTTTACATTTGAAATTTATTGAAGTTGCAGGTGTAAACACAATTATAAAATTATAATGATGCTAAATTATTAAAGATTATAATGGGTTGTGTTACATAAGTTATATTGGGTGGGTTGTATGTTTATTGTAATTGTTGTTGAGCGGAGCGCGTTTATTCTTAAAAATTCGACCTATCAAAATTTTTTTCAGTGGTAAACGATGGAGGCCTATATAGACCTTCGATGAAATTTTGGCTCTCGATCGGTCAAGAGGAGTTTCGGAGGAGTGCAAATCTGATCTCGAAAGATCGCTTCGTGCTCCGCTCAATAAAGAAAATTAAATACAAGATTTAGTTGTACCTTATCAGTAAAATACATTATTGTCCCGATAATTATATCTTAAAATGAAAATGCTTTAGTAAAAGATGTAAGCCCTCATCTTAAAGGTTAGGTTACTTGTTGTGGTAATTTTATATTTTGCTAATTGCGTATATTAATAAGCAGAATCTAGAGGATTTTGTCATTACTGTAACGGGCAGTCAATTAGTCACGTGATGTTTTTTTTATTGACAGTTCTTGATCCACCTCTGCCCTGGTTTATACGTGGTAAGGTTTAAGGCTAACCCTCTCCACCTCCCCCAACCCCCAATATCATGTATATTTTTAGTACCTATGTGTGCTGTAGCGTGGTGCGGGTGACAGTTGCCTGTATTTGTAGACTTACATTTTAACTAGGTTAAATTTAAGTTAATACACTTATTAATGATTTAATATATTATGAATGTGGTACAGCTGAAATACTGAGTCATAATTTTTAAATCGCAGCAACTTTCAAGAGTGAAACGAAACATTACTGAAACTGTCTTCCGCACCATGCTACAGCGCACGTGGTGTACATGGAATCGTATTTTTTTTTAAATATCTATAAATAAAGGTATAAAGAAAATTTACTTGGCATTTCTTAACCCTCTTAAGTGGTAAGTTACCACGTATGACCTCTCTCCTGGATCATAATCGTAAACCTTACCACGTATGATCCAGGAGAGAGGTCATACGTGGTTTACCCCCCACCCCGTCCTCCATTTCTTAACATCAGATATATTTTTAGTGCCTCAAAGAATCGTGAAAATTTTTAATATAAAGTATAATTTTATTTTATTCTAGACGTGTCGAGGTTGCATACTCCTGTGTTTGACGATATTATAAATATACGTGAAATCTTACTACACCCCTCTTTCCCTTTCGTGGTTTTTGCCCATTTACACCCCTATTCGAGCCTCACGTGATTTAATAGACATCCTGTTAATATTAATTGACCTCTTTGCATACCTATATCAATAGTTGCTCCACTATTTTGTGTTTATCTAGTCAGTAAATTTTTAGTTAATTAATAGAAAATTAAAGATTTGAATCATAGTCCGAAATTAGAAGGTTACACTGCATTTCCACAAAAATATATTATTATTGCTATACAACGTTAACAATTTAATAACTCACAATTTAAAACAAAATCACTATATAATACAATACTGCATTTATTAAAAAAATATAAATTTTACACAAATACAAATTTTGTCATAAAGGCTCAAAGTGTACAATACAAATTATATTTTAATGGAAATGCGGTATCAGTAGAATGTTCATATGAGTTGTTAATAATATTTTTATGTATGCATTGTTTCTTATATTGTTGAATAATTCATCTCTTGGAACTTTAGCTGCTGTCAATTGTTTACAATTTGTATACAACTTGTTTAGTTTTGTAGTATGGTAGTATATTAAATGAGTTACTGCATTAGTAATAGGGTTGTTGCATTCAAAGCTGAGACAATAAAATATTATAAGTAATGTTGATTTTTATTATATTTTATATCTTTCATTTTTAACCTTGTGTTGTTAATGTTTGATGAAGCAACATGATGATTATGCAGTTAACAGATTCTTCTTCTTCGTCCATTTTTCCTCAATTAGAGGTTCTATGATAATAATAAAATAAATAAATAATCCAGGACAATAACCCAGCGCCATCTAGTCCCCATGGTAAGCAGACCTTGTGTTATAGGTACTAAACAACTGATATAAATACTTAGATATTTTTTTTGTAAATACATACGTAATATACATAGAAACCACCCAGACCGATACAAACAAACATACTCATGAATACAAATGTTTGCACCGCGCAAGGACTTGAACTCGCGACCATATGAAGTAAAGCGGTCTGCTAAACCAATGTAAATCTTTTACCACCCTTATAAAACTATATATGATTTTATTTAAATGAAATAACAATATTATGTAGTTTAATATTTTTTTATTAATCGATAAGAGAAAGAAATAACCTACTTTTCGTATTCTCTTTCATAAAAAAAACTCGTCTCTCATATGACGCCCCCCACGCTAAGTCGCTGACTATAGGGATATATAATTCTTGCTAAGTAACAAGCCACGTCGATTGTTAATGAAAAAAAAAACATATATTACGTATATGAAATCTGTATTTATATTAGAACACTTAAAATTAATTAGAAATATTTGAACTCGACGGCTACATACAGAGCTCACAAGTATAAATTAAGTTTTATTTTACAGTACACTAAGTATATTACAAATATATAAGGCACCAGGCGACGCTTAATGAGTATATAACTTCAGTTCTATTTGTTGGCACCTAAAGTTCAATATTTAACAAAAGTACGTTATTTTTTTTCATACATAAGTAATTTAAGTCGATTGAATATATGAGTAGAGTCGATAGATTCTGTCATTTTGAACTTCACACACCAATAATTTTGATCAGAATCTCAATAAATCGATAATAACATTAGAGTCGATAGATTCTTATATCTGTTTGCACTACACATGCTTCAATAATTCTGATTTGTATTTTAATAAGTCGATAACATTGACGGTGGGGCAACAGCAAACACGTACATACAGCCAATATTTATGACAAATATATTCGTGTGATTTTCTTTATTTATAAATAAATTATGATTTATTCATTAGTAGATATTTGTTGTTTAGTGTTTTAATTTCGATTGTATATTTGTATCTTCACCTTGTTTTAATTACAGTATGAAATGATTTATATATAGTAGGTGATGTGAATGCTAGCTATGTGTAATAAATTCTAAATTACATAAGTTGATAGTACATAGTTTTAACTTTGACTTGACTTTTAATTTCAAGTATTTACATTTACTAATTCAACTTTTATGTTCATATAGTTAACAAACTGATCAATAGAAGTAATTTCTAATAATTATTATGAGTTGTCTGTTCGCTTAGATCTTTTGAACTACGCAACGGATTTTAATGCAGTTTTTAGAAATCGATAGTGCGATTCAGGAATGTTTATATATATAATACATATATTCCATATTAGTTAGTATATCGTAAAGAAGAAATTACTGAGTAGTTTTGGACAAATATTTAAGGATCTTAGTATGTTCAATTTTTCAGGTGCCCAACACTTAAAGCTATTGTATGTAATAACAGACTCATAACAATTGCAAAATCATATATCGTGATGTACACTATATGTACACTATTATACTCTTTATGCTTTTGCGAATGAATATACTATAGTATATTCAACTTAACAAAAATCCTAATGTCTACATCAAGACTTAACGACATGGACTTAAGTAAAGCTTAGTTTAATAAACACTGGCTTTCTCCAGCAGAACTGATGCGTCACACATGACTTTCGCCGTCGACCGCACTAAGAACATCAAATGGAGCTGTTCGAACACGTTCAAGTGGACTCTGGTCCTCACCAAACCGTGTAACACCGTCGCTCGTTCTAAATCCAACCATCTCTGCAAGGATAACTCCCGTTCATCAACTGGAACACCTTGGACCACGTCCAGAGGTCCCCACAGCATGAATTCCAGCACGGACTTCGCCTGGTTCAAGGATATAGCTCGTTCTTCGTGAAGTACTTCCTTTAATAGAGGCGTGAGTTTCTCCCCTGGTAGCAGGATCTCGAGGGCTTTCATAGCACATTTACATAGAGAATTGAGATGCTCCTCCTCTGCTGATTTGCAGTTGATCTCCTCGCTCAATCTGGAATCAATCATTAATATGTTAGACTAGTTTAAAGTCGAAGTATAAATTCTCATATCACCGATATCAGTATTTCTATTATTTTCTAGGAATTGAAAGTTTTTAATTTTGAAATAGAAATCGGTGGTCCAGCAGTTTAATGCACCGCCTTACTTCCGATAATCACAAGTTCAATTCCTTGTACGATACAAACATTTGTATTCTTGAGTATGATTGTTTGTATTAGTCTTAGGTATTTTCTATGTAAGTTGTGTATATATTTATAAAAAAATGTTTTTAAGTCTTTCTATTATAGGTATGTAGTATAAGCTCTGTTTACTTTGGGTATAGTTGGCGCTGTGTGAATTGTCCAGAGTTGTTATTTTATTAATATTATAAATGCGAAACTTTGTAAGTATGGATGTTTGTTACGCTTTCACGCAAAAACTACTGAACGGATTTTGATGAAACTTTACAGTTATATAGTTTCTGCATCAGAGTAACACAGGCTGTATTTTTTATTGAAGTTTAGCGCGGTCGAAACCGCTCACTCAGCTAGTTATTAATAATTTGTTACTTATCCATAATTGTTAAGTTGTATATAACATGTAAGAATATTACTTACCCTTGTAATATGCAAAGACGTCCATATGAATTAGTTTTTGGGGCCCACAACGAGTTTAGCCTATCATCGGGCGATGGCAAATTAAGGGTGCTCCCATGTGACACCAGAGGCTGCATTTCCCTCAAGGCAATAAACGACGACAAACTCTCCGGTATCTCCTCAAGTCCTCGTGCTTGGAGGCACTTCAATCCATTGATGAGTTGCAGCATCATGAAGATTGCTTCGTGGACCTGCTCAGTCTGCACTAACTGGTATTCCTTAGTGCTCAGACCTTCGGCAGCCTGGAGATTCTCCCCGTACGACTGGATAGTGTCCACTTGTGCTTGTGCCAATACGACTATAGTGGCTGAAATAAGAGAAAAATAATTAGTCTTATTAATCTTATATATAAAATTCTCGTGTCACAGACACACACACACCGATTCTCAGACCTACTCAATACACTCAATTGAGTAGGTCTGAGAATCGGCCAACATCTATATTTCAGCCCCCTAAATGTTAGGGGTAGTCCACCCTAATTTTTTTTTTATTTTAAGGCAAAACAACGTTTGCCGGGACAGCTAGTATTATATAAGTTCTACTAAATTATAAACGCTAAAGTTTTTGTATATGTATAGATATTTGTTACTCTTTCACGCAAAACTACTGAACGGATTTTGAAGAAACGTTACAGTTTTTATTTATATAGCAAAGGTGAGCATAATGCTAATATTTTTATGCATAAAAATTACATTAAATCAATAAAAAAAAAACATTAAACACATGTATTTGACACACACGCATATATACTATTTTGTTTAATTATTATTGCTCGATCAAAAATCTTTTTGTATTTTCTCTGATGGTCAAATATCGACCACTGAGCGAGCACTAGTTTAGTAATGTGAATTATAAACACCATTGGTAGCAATATACTATCTCAGGTTAGCTTTCACGCGGTTCCTCTGCAAACCACCAGAAACTTACTGGTGAATTTTCCAAGATGGAGTAACTGACCCGACCTCATCCCACCCAGGAGTGCCCCTTAGTGTAAACCGTTAGCACAGGCGGGTGTATTATTCCATTTAAAAATATATACATGAACAGCATCTCGGACATTACATTATCATGTGCCACCCGTGATACTAATCATGGGTGCCATTCCTGATGCCATACCTCTTTATTCAGTTGTAGCATGATGGGTATCAATTCATGACTAGCGTTATGTATGATAAAACGTAATGAGGTGTCGATAAGTATTATAATAATAATGAATTTTGCTTGTAATCAGTTGTAGAATAACTATTATTTCAACAGATACACACCTTGCACTAAATCTTCACCCTCCTCTCCGAACTGTTGCAATGGCACCAAGTCACAAAACTCCGTTATGGCATTCAAACTCAGGGTCTGCGGTTGCACTGATTGCTGGCATACCAGTTGAGAGGCCATCTGTTCTTTGTAAAGCATCAGAGTTACATTCACAGGTCCTTGATTTGAACTCCAAATAGCGGGGTAGAAGACCCGCTTCCCAGCTCTAACGAAGTTATTCTTCGCAGATGGTTGGATAGCGAAATCATTCCATCTTAGGTTGGTGCAAGCTTTCAGACCTCGAAGAGACGGCTGCATAGTCGCACTTTGTTGGACCTGAAACGTAGAAGTCACTATTTGAGACACATATCTTTCTTTTATGATTGAAAACAGTTATTTTATTACAGTATGTAAATTTTTCATCATCGTAGCAACACAGTGTTCTACAGCAAGCGGCTCTTATGCTTTAGACTTTTCATTTCCTTATACTGATGTTTAGTCTTTTATTGCTTTAGACATATCTTATTATGGTTATGAAGAAGATTCATGAGTCTACGTATAACCTGAAGTTGCATTTATTATTGTTTTTGTATGAATAAAATTTAGTTTAATTAGCATTAGAATTATGTAGCAGAAACAAGTAAGTAAACAAAATATTACCCTAAAGACTTCAGCATGTGAAAGAGACATTACGCACAGCATGTTTTAAAAAGCCTTCATTGTTAAGTTTATAATAAAAAAACTGCATTCAATATAACCATCAACATGTTGAATAGTTTAGTTGCTATATTAATTTTTGTTTGTGTTTACAATGATATTGGCGAAAGAAAATAATAGAACTTTTAGTTACCTGTTCTAAAACTTGGGCGAGGGCTTCATGATTTGCAATAACGACCGCACCGTAGTTGTCTTCTAAGTTCTTGTGCACGACGCTCCGACCCTTTCTCACTCGTAATTTGTTTGTTGTGTTCTTGGAAGTCATCTCGTTCTGATAGTCCTCATTCCCTGGACTATCCATAGTGTCGTTTGAACTATAGAAACTATAAGGGGAATAAATTTCAGATTCTGTCTCACTACCGCAATAAGGAAGTGATGACCGGTTAAACATCCCATTGTTGTACTTAGGATATTCAACAGTTTCAGTTTCTTTTCTTGTTTCTATTCTATTTCCTGAACTGTTTTCTCTGTCTTTTAAAGCTGCGTCACATTCTGGTGAACTAGATAGAGCATGGTGCACGTATTCATAGTCACTGTCGCTATTCTTTGCCGAATCACAATTTTCTTCTTCGTATTTAGAAGAATTATATACATCATCGTAATTGTTGATGACTGTTTCATTGGTAGCTTGTACAATTTCTTGTGGGCCATCATCGATTTCGTCTTTGTCGTCATCTATTGAGGTTCTGCGTTTAGGTAACTCTAAATGTGCTTCTCGTTCTCGCATACTTGCTGTACGCTCTGGCTTTCTTGGTGCTAATGCTGACCGGATTTCCCCTGAAAAATAATATCAATCAATTATTTACACTGCATTTGACATTCAAATATAATCATTAATTATTGATTTCAATTGAAATTCTTACCTAGGTTTGCATAAATATTATCATTTTTGTTCGGCGCAGTGGCCCATGCTTGCTGCTTCTGTTTCTTTTGTAATGAAGCGGATTTTGGAGGAGGTGGTCTAGCTGGTTTTGGTAGATGGGATACAGTCTTGTAATCCTCACTAGATTGTCTAGGTGGAGGTGGAGGTTTATTTGTAACTTTCGGCGTTTCTATATCGGTTGCAGAACTACTTCCACTGTATATCGATGAATCGTCATCGTGACTCATTCTTCTTAAATCTGAGATTTCGCAATTTGATTTAACAACCTCGACGGATGACCCATTTATATCCAAAGGATGTATGATAACGAGCCTTGGTTTCGGTTTCGGTGTCAAATCATAAATTTCCTCTGCTTTGCTAGGTATTTTACTTTGTATTTTTGTAATTGGGGTAACACTGATTTCCTTTTTATCCAAATCTTTAGAAGATCCTATACGGAGCAATTTCTTAATTGAGAATTTCAGTTTACCTTTTCGTTTATCATCGAGGAGTAAGTTATCATGAGAGAGAGATATATTTCGACGTGGTGCTGGTTCTGGTACAGAATCAGTTTTCTGAGTCACGTCTTCTGTTGGCCGTATTTTAGGTGAAAACAATGTGGCTCTTTCTCTTTTCTCTAATTCCCTTACCACAGGTGAATCTGATTTCATAAAGCCGTTCTGATTTCTTTGGTATAAATTGTTGGAATACTCTTCTACTGGAGATGACGATGGAGGAGTGGGAGCCTTACGTTTACTGAGACTATGTAAAGAAGTATCACTGTCTTGTTTTGTTAATACTGGTTTCGCATAGTAAATTGGTTCCGCTTTATCTTCGTGGATTTCGCTTATTTCATTGTTTTTTTCCTCAGTCATTTTAAGAACTTTATCTTCGTCATTGTTTAATGTATGTTGTAAATGCATTACCGTTTGTTGGTGATGTGTATTGATGCTATTTTTCTTAGTAGTCTGTTTAATTAATGGTTTTACTGGTAATTTTGGTTTTTCGGGCAAGGCCGGCTTAGAACTGGGTATAATATCACTTATCATACCATGTAGAAATGATGGTCGTGGATCCATCACAGGTATTGGACTTTGAGGTAATGCAGGAGCTTCATTAGTTTCATCAGGATCAGCTCGACCATCAGGCTCACCGGCTAATTCACGACTAGCTTCTGCTGAGAAAATTGTGTCTGGTTGTTTAGGCAATATTGGAGGTAAGTCAATTATTGAACTTTGGAATGTGGAGTAACCAGTACAAGCTTGTCCATCTACTTTTCTGATTTGGCCAATTGGTGACATTTTGATGTTTTTATCACTTTCATTGAATACTTTTATCTTAACGGTTTCTTCGTTTTTATGTGTTTCGGAAAAATGACCGCTATCATCGTTGTCTGAGTCTGTTCGTCCGCTAAAGCTTTCGTCATCTGATGCTAATGAGTTATTTGCCGTCGAGTTCAAAGTACTAACAGCTGAATCAACGCTACTATTCTCAATATTAATTTTACAAAATTTAAACTCTGATCTACTAAGGTTTACTTTAGGTCTATCTTGTGTTTTGGCAAGCGGTGATTTTCGAACAATACTATTCTTTCTTATTTCATTAATATCTTTTTTCTCAATTTCATCTTGCATACTTTCTTTTATTTTTTCTTCAATAACTGTGGGTTTCGTAGATTCATTAGACAAATTGTCCCTGTTATATTTATGTCCTAATGTTTCTGAGATTTCTTCCAGTAATGATTTTTCTGTACATAGTATATTACCTGTAGAATTTTCAGCACAGATAACGGTTTCTGTCTCTTTTATATAGGATGACAGAACTATGTTTGTTTTATAATTGTTCGAAGAGTTTTCAGATGGCGGTTCTGCTAAATGAATAACAGCGGGTTTTCGGACGTGAGATTTTATACTAGGCCCCTTATTATCTTGTCCAAAAGGAGTAACTGAGACCAACAGAGTCTTCTTTTTGCCATCAGAATCTGTTTGCATCTTGCCCAATAAAAGGGATGTATAGGATTTGGCTACTGATTCTCCTAATAAATTTGCTTTAACTGTATTAAAGTCGGTGTTAGATTTTGTGATTTTCAAAAGTTCCCTTTCTTCTTCGGTGTCAGGAAAAACATCATCGTCTTGATTATACTCGGAAATTTCGAATTCTTCTCCATCAGACCAATCATCACCTCCAAAACCAATAACACTACAAACTTCTTCAGGAAACCTTACGTTTCTTTTGCCTTTTTTCTTTGGATGAATTTTAAGTATACTCGGTGGATTTTTCTTGAAGTATGTACTTCTGTTTTGGAATGGCGTCGCTGTGTATTTAGTACCATCTGTTACATTTTCATTCTTAACGTGTTCTTCACGAGATTTGAAGCAGTTTGAGCAGAAATCTTTCTTCCATGCATTTTGGACGAAGTTGTGGCATACCGGTGACATCTTGCCCTTCGAATATCGTCTGTTGATCACATAACTGGCATTCTGCAAAGAAGAGAAAAATGAAATTAGTCTTGTTGCTTTTATTTATTAAATTTGACATACATTTACAATATTTTATCGAGCGTTAAGTCGAATAGCGTGCGTGAATTTATCTCTTCTTACATAAATTGCAAAAGTTTGTGGAATCTTTCGTGCGTATAGAAATCGTGACTAGTTTGCGTATACATGATTCATTTGCATCTAATTGAGTATTCCGTTAAACCAATACGCAAATTAGGAATAAGTGCAGTGGAGTTATCCAGATGCCTATTACGTGTTTGGAACACGGAACAAGTTACGAGCGTTAGGTGACTTTAGACTCTTTAGAGTATTCATTGTTGAGGTCTCGGGAGATTATGACAAATAACAAAGGAATATGAAGCAGCATATTAGAATGCACATCACATTACGCAAATGAATCCAAGAAATGATCGGACAAATTGTTTGCGGATATCTGTACATTATTTTGAGTTGAGACTCAAATATAAAAACTATATAAAAAGAAGACGAATCACTTCGTACATGAAGAATATACGAGAAAAACTATTTCAATTATATTTATGATTAGGGGACTCCTCATCGTACTGGACATTAAAAACGTAAAAGAACTCAAAGTAGTGATTGTTAGAAATTTTGACTGCGCGTTTCTTCGCTCTAAACTCAGAAGCGGCTTAACTGATTTGTTTGTGAACTTGACTAATATGTAATTAAGAGTTACATAAAATATTGTATATATATGGTATATAGCCGTTTCAAAAAAAAGTTGCATATTGACAACTTGTTCTACTTTATCCAGTTACTTCATTATATTGTACTAGTCTTTAACAATATATAAATTAAGTTAAGTAACATTTATAGAAAATTGTATAATCTCATTTCGAAGTGATAAGTGTTGTTTTCGTTTTTAACTTTTACTTTAAAGTCAGAAAACTTTGTTATGTATGTTTGTCCATCCTTTTCTCGCTTGACGTCTTTGCGTTACGACAGGTGTGTACTTTCTCTGCAAACAATGATAGAATGGGTGTCACATACTTCACAAGCTTATCTAATATTCATAGATGGTAAACCAACACGTAGTATTGTTTACAGAGAAATTGATTAATTTCTTTTTACTTAATTTTCTTATACACGTAATTGATATAGTCAGCAAAAATTAATCAGTTGGAGAAAGTTTGTATTAATTACATATTTAATGTACTGAACAATTTTCACCTAACGTACATGTTCTAAATTCGAAAAAAGTTATCGAATATACCGGACTGATATATTGAAAGTTAAAAAAAAAATCTCAAAAATATTTTCTTATTTTCAATATATTATATCTGAGTATGAGTTTTGGACAGTTAACCTATCATGGCCAATTCCTCAGGAATTTATCACGATGTTCTGATAGTTTCCAGGGAGGGGTCCTGGATATGTTATATTGCTATCTATCGAGTTAATAGAACACATTACTAACAATCCTGTTCTCACCTCTATTAGTACTCTAAACTTTTGAAATTTGTATTGTTTTTAATCGAAACAATATAACAAAGAACATTAAATAGCCAGTGTTTAAACGATGTACGTTCCCCATATGTAGACGGAGTCTTTAGCAATCCGTCTGAAGGTCGTATATCTCATCAGTACGGTATCCTTGGCTGTACAAATAAAGGAAAGATGGTACGAAGTGTGTCATGTTGTTCCACAATTATTATTGTTTGCTCTTGCCCCTGTTTCGTACACGTGATTACTATTGGGGTCACTCACAAATATGTAAACTACGTAATTAATAGCTTATACAACGCATTATTAAAAATAACGGCCTCGGTGGTATAGCGGTTTAGGATACAGCTTTATTTCGCATGGTCGTGGATTCGATTCCTAGTATACTATAATATAATGATATAATGTTTTCTATTATTGAATACAATTGTTTGTATGTGTGTGTTATGATTTTATTTATAAAAAAATATGTTTAAATATTTTAGTAGTTTACATTTACACGCACGTTATTTTATGATCTTTTTAGTAACTACTAGTCGTTCATCTGCTAGTCATAGTAACGTGATTTCAATGAGCATTGTTCGTCAGTAGAACAACTCGTTAGTTGCTCCTCAATCAGACCGGACATTTATTGGCGATCATAAAACAGTGGTGAGGTATTCAGGTCGTTTTTCGTTCATCTGGAAACCGGAATGTGACGGTGAAATTGAGGCGTCACGCGTATCACCACCTCTTCAAATAACATTACATTGTGTGCCAACTCAAGGTAGCCTACTTAGTTAACAAGCGGCCACATATGTATACTAAAGTATATAGAATACATAAATAGATGGATGTACATCCATCCATTTATGTATTCAAGTAATATTGTATTATTTTTATTTCATGCTATTTACTTAAATGCACTGCCCACTAAACTCTGTTTGCTTTATAGTTGCCTGGGAGTAAATGCCTTAGGTGTTAAGTCCGACATATGTACTTATATAAGCACTTAAAAAATATATCTTTATATTTACTGTAATAATAGAGTAATCAGATTAGAGCGGACCGTAAATATTTACGGTATAATTTTGATCGAAAGTATTGCTATCGCGCGTTAGTGAGAACACACGCAAGGTCGTTTAATGTCCCAAAAATCTTTGAAATCTTGTTGATTAGAATTTTTAAAAATGCAGAGTCTCAATTATGTTTTGTATTTTCCACCGGTTTCAGAAGTCAGAATTAATATTTAACTGTTACTATATGTATGCATAGGACATAATTGCCTTACTTCAGAGCGAGTTTTTATTTTTTTTGCAATTTACTAGGTCGCAAACTAATATTATGACGATATCGTAAATTATGAAATGGTATGGTCTGGACTGAACTGTGGTTAAAAGCAAACCGCAACATCAAAATAACCAAGGCACTCGAGAGCCGATATGAATAATCAGACCAAAAGGATTATGACAGAATTGTGCTTGCTTTTAAGAGAAGTATGTCCATAGAATGAGTTTACGATGTAAAAGTATTCTTCAGTAGTCGTTCTATCTCCATTCCATAGGAACTTCTGTCTCTCCTCACCGAAGCGCGATAGCAATAATTTCAATCGAAATTTAGCCGTAAATATTTACGTTCCGCACTAGTCAGCCGAGTGGAGCGGAACGTAAATATTACTCTTTATTTATTACAGTAAATATGAAGGTATTTCGGTTTGTTATTCTAAAAAAAATATTATAATTCCAATATATTGCCCATTCTTTTTTAATTTTTATATGTCTTGGATTATTAATACGAATGAGCTAATAGGTTATTTTTGATGAAAATAGAATTTATTAGTTACGTATAATTCTATAACTAATTTGTTTAAAGAAAATTTGACAACTGAAACGTAGATATTATTTGCCTTATCCTAGGAACAAAATTTCATCGAGTTTAATTAATTATTGTAGAACATTTTTGTAATACAGCTTTAAGATTTAGTATTGATTGTAAAACAAAACGCAACACATTCAATGCGTTTTGTTTTGACACAATTGAAATCATCATCATCATCAGGCAGTTTTATATTTAGTATTGACCGCATAACAAAACGCAACAGTTTTGATGTTTTGTTTTGACAGAATTGAAATCATCATGTTTGATGGAGTTTCTTACTGTCAGAATGTGATGAAGTATTCTCTTATCCGTGATGATGATGCTGTATTTTACTATTGTTAGATTTTGTTTGTTGTTTTTTAGCTTAGTATAATCTAATCTCACGTGGGGAATACCTACTGGAAATTCTAATACTATCAGTTGTGAATATGGGCGAGAATTTTATGGGATTTGAAAAGGCCTACAAGAATTAAAGAACGACTGAATGGGTTTTACTGAAAATTTATATGAAGACTGTCGTAACTATGAATCATCATCATCATCGCAGCCCGGAAGACGTCCACTGCTGGACATAGGCCCCCTCCAAAGATATCCACGACGATCGGTCCTGCGCTGCTCGCATCCAATGCCTTCCAGCGATCTTGACCAGATCCTCGGTCCACTTTGCTGGAGGCCTTCCCACGCTGCGTCTTCCGTTCCGTGGTCGCCACTCGAGGACTTTACTGCCCCAACGGCCATCTGTCCTACGAGCTATGTATCCCGCCCATTGCCACTTCGGTCGGTCACTCTGGTTCTTCTGCGGATCTCCTCGTTTCTGATTCGATCATAACTATGAATATAACTATGAATATATATAAATAGAAAACGAATTCGTTTTCTATTACCCTACCCTTTCTAATGTTTTGCACGGCTTTGTTAATTTCTCTTCATAAGAACCTTCTTCTGACCATAACAAACACAACAAAAAAGAATTAGCGAAATCAGTCCATCCGTTCACGTGTGATGGCCTGACCAAGATATAGAGATTTATTTTTATACTAGCTACCCGCGACTTTGTCCGCGTGGAATTTAACTTTATTTTTCTAACATAAAAATAGCCTAAGTTACTCCTTATTACATCAGCTACCTGCCAAAAAAAGTCCCGTTAAAATCGGTCCAGCCATTTCAGAGGTTATCCGGAACAAACAGACAGACGGACAAAGATTGTAAAAAATGTTATTTTGGTATATGACCGTATTTGTAGTCATATGCATGTAGTAAAAAACTGTTATTTCAATATTACAAACAGACACTCCAATTTTATTTATATGTGTAGATTGTATTTATGGACGAAATCGCGTGTACTAGCTAGTAGGATTAGAGTTTGTATTTGCAACAGTGTAGTCTTAACTTATCTTAATTTAAGTAAAGACGCCATTTTTCACCGTTTATGCATGGTGTGACCTCATCGCTTATGTCACTGTTGCATGCAAGTAGGTAGATGTATATATTTAAGTATATATAAAATAAATATCGTCATTATGCAAATTAGGCAGCAGTTGGAAGGTGTCAGAGAATGTTAATGTGTTTAAAATTTTGTATCTTTTTATAAAATAGTGGTCCTGGAGCCAGCAACAGGTTAATACGACCAAATTCTCCCGGTTGAAAACTATAATGGTTAA